CAATAGGGGTCCCTAGTTGCAGGCAAATACACACTTGGGTGCGTTTACATGTAAAACCCGTTTGCAGTGCCTTTCACTATATTGGGCTTCCCACAGTAGGGGAATTTCAAATACGGCATTGTCCCAAGCCTTGTACTTTCAAGTCCCCTCAAGCCATGGGATCTGTAGATATGGATAACTTTCACTGCCAGTGGCTATAATTGGAGGTTAATTGGCCAGTGTGCCCTGGACGGTAGCTCGTGAGGTGCGTAAAATTTCTCTGAGTGTCTCTGTAAAGGCCAATTCACTAATAAGTTCTAAATTATGTGCGCATGCGCAAAGAATGGTAAGTGGAGTCGACAAGCTTGAGCGGCCCATCGAGACTGTATAGGGGCACAAATTTCTGTCATTTTCTCTTAGCTTCTGCACTTTAGTCACTTCTAACTTTAAGAACCCTCAAAAATCATTACAGCTGTTATTTTCTGGTCTAAAAGGAAATGTTGTACCGTGAATGGGACTTGAAAAGGTTATAAAATAAAATAGCGGTCACTTCACGGATCCGACACTCCCTCGATGGCATTCGTCAAAAGAACCATTTTTATCCATCTAAAGGCCAATTTGTACTTGGCGCGAAAATGAACGCGAATTTGTGACGTCATATCCAATATTCGCGTCCCGAATTCTTAAAGCTGAACACATTTCAACTCGAGCGAAATGTCGCGGCAAAGTTGTCGTGATGTTAAAATTCGCTTGGCTTTCCCATTTGCCTTAAGTATGAACCGGCTTTAACGTTTTGCCACTTACGTCGTCGACCAAGAATGGTGGATTGTTTAATACTTGGGTATCGCACAATTTTTTTACAGTTCACATAGAACCAAACCTGACTGCTTTCTTTTGACCTCGTGCACTTCGAACGAACGACATTTTTCAGGTTTTTATCTTTTTCTCCAGAAATTCCTCTCATTCCAGAGAATAATAGCTGTAATGATTTTAGAAGGTTTTTCGAAGACAAAAGTATAAAAAGGTGCACCACCGAATTGAAACTGCATCATGAAGTGTAGTTGGGGTAACTTTATTTCTTATTCCTCCTTTAAGGACTTGTTATCAAGAGGGGTTTGTGGGAAAATCTTATCTACCAGTGCAAAAGATGGCCGTCCCATTGACCATGATTCAAAAACAGGCCCTTAATCCCGAAATAAACATTAAGAACAATTCAATTCAACCCAGGAAATGGCAGCGATCCAAACGCTGCCCAAGTGTAAAGTTTGTAAAACTTAATAAAGTGTGCAAACATTTCATTTGAGAGTAGTTTTCACTTCTCTCGCTTCACTGGATTCCTGTTCGGATAAAAGACTATAGGGGGAAAGGGTCAGAAAGTCATGGAAATCACTTTCAGATTTGAGTCAGTGGATTCGAATTAAAGGTGACTGATTTTTTCTTATCGATCATCAACCACAGCTGGATTAAATGTGCGTTCATGATTCGACGGTCAGCTGCCACCTAAGCCAATGACATGTTTCCACTCGCAATGACGTCACGTAAGAGTCAGCCATTTATTTGCCTCATCTTTCTCGCTGCTTATCTGTATTTGGCACCGGCTCACTACGTCCCCTGCTATCAAACCCCTTGCCAAACGCTTGCCACAAAACATCCGACTGTTACAAATGTAGAAAGTGAAGGGAAGAAGCAAACAAGCACCGATGTCACCAGCCACGGCGATCTTTCTCTCACTACGATGACCGGCAGTGCATCTCTTATTGACACCACTGGTCGTATAGAAGCAGATGAGGTTGAAGATACTGCTCGCATTCATCACACCACTGCCGATGCTATAAATACTGATACTTCTATCAGTATCAATAACTTAACTGACTTTGATGTCGCCATAGTTACCAACACTACAGATGATTTAAAACACACTGCAGCGATCGATAGGACAACATCTATCATCAACGACTTTTCCCAAAAGAACGAAAGCATGTCACGATTGACAACTGACACACCTGACAACTTCGACAGGGCTACAAGCTGGGAAAGCTCTAAGACAGTCACAGATAACCAGAACGGTCTCATTGTAACTACATCTTCTGTTGCAGACACCTTTAAGCAACTCAACACTCCTGAGAGAATCGGCACAGTTTCGAGTGTCACACCCACGATCCGAGCAGATGTCCTGAGTTCCGCATATTTCGATACCACTAGTCCGCCATTTACGTCAGCCAGTGCCCACAAAATCCAACAACCTTCGCTCACTCCCTCAAGCCCCCTGGAAAATTTGTACTCCCCAGTCTTCTATGAGGATATTTACTATGCTGACGTAAGCGAACATGCTCCCGTCGGTACAGTTCTCCTGATGGTGCAGGCGTTGGACTGGGATGACGGAGGTGCCGGCGAGATCACATACAACATATCCAACGGGGCAGAGGATATGGGCGGCTTAACGGATTTCGCCGTGCATCCGGTGACTGGGGTGGTTGCCGTTGTTGGGGACTTGGATCGAGAGGCTAAAGGCGTGTACATGATTAATTTGACTGCAACGGATCAAGGTATGATTTTTATAATGAACTTATATTTGTTGGATCAAATTTGCTTCTACATGTATTTAGCAGACCTCGAAGAGTAAAGAGCGCCTCAGCACATTTCAATCAAAAGCTCTGATCAAGGCTTAACCACACGATGTTTTGAAACTCAACCTGTTGTTATTTTTGATACCTTAAGGAAAACCAGCAAGGAGTGCTGAGGCCCAGCTGCAAATCACTCTCTTGGATGTGAACGACAACGCACCAGTATTTGTTACGAACAGATACGAAATTGTGGTAGACGAGAACACGTACGTAATGAGTCGCGTACTTCGCGTGATTGCAACGGACAATGATATAGGTAAGTGTTGCAGAGCTTTTCTACCTCGATCTTACAGGAAAGTGGTCCCTTCCATTTGTATCAAATTTACTCTTCATTTTATATACCGCTACTTTAGGCACAAACGGTGTTGTAACCTACAGACTATCTGGAGACTACAGAAACACCTTTTCCATCGGTGAAAGAAGCGGGCTTATCCGTACCCAGCGTTCTTTGGACCGCGAACGGGTAGCATCGTACAATTTCCAGGTCATTGCGTCGGATCAAGGCACGCCTACACTTCAAACGTCTGTTGAGGTCATGGTCCTTGTGGGAGACGTCAACGACAACCCACCTAAGTTCCCCAGCACCACTTTCCACCTCAATGTGACCGAGAACAACCTACCCTTCGGTCTGATTGGAAAAGTCACCGCCACCGACGCAGATGAGGGCCCGAACGCGGTCGTGACCTACGCATTCGTGCAGCAGCGGGCACCGCAGAGGTACTTCCAGATCGAGCGGAGCACGGGAATAGTACACGCTCTGTACAGCTTTGACCGCGAGGAAAGATCTGAGTACCAGGCGGTCATCCGTGCGTTCTCTGGGAAGCTCTTCACGGACGTCCACCTTGTAGTCCACATCCACGACATTAATGACAATTCACCCACTGTGCCGTCAACTCAGGGAATCTTCTATAGCTTCTACGCTGGATATGATGGTTGCAATGCTATCGGGAAAGTAGGTGCACTAGATAAGGACAGCGGGGACTCCTTAATTTTCCGTCTCGTTGAAAGAGACAAAAGTGCCGCTGGAGTCAAAGAAAGAAGAAAAACACCGATGAATGTCTCAGAGAGGAATTCTGTCCACGTTCTAGGAATGAACTTCACCTTGGATGCCAACACGGGAATGATTCATGCGTGCCACCAGCCGGCTCAGCTCGACCGTATACCGTCCACAGTGCAACTGAGGATCGAAGTTTCTGGTATGAATTTGTTGAAACCTAAGAAATATTTGCGTTTCTTATTACCATGCCCAATCAAACGTTGAGAGAGAATTACATAGCATACAGCTATTTCAGTATAAGAACGAAGGTTTTGTCTTTTACGAATGGTATTCGTTCAAGTTGAACTCCATGTATTTTAAAACAATGAGCGAGAAAACAGCATGCAATGCCAAGCTGTTATGATCTGTTGTGATTGACGAATTTGTAAGCAAAGTTAATTTTGCGACAAAAATCTGATCATGATCGTGTTCACTTCTTATTTACTGATATGTAAAGATGGCCTCCATAGCAACATCTGCAGCAGCATAATTTATCCATCACCAGTCACAGATCTATCGCTCAGTCACTGCATGTTGCTGCGGCTTCGCATCCGTTCAGACATCCAGACTTTCCTGTCAAGGTACAGAGAGTTCGTGTCCGCCGTTGCTCGAGTATTCAGGACGACGGGCGAACTCGTGACCCTCGTTATTCGAGGGGGCTTTGCCAGACCGTCCAATGGTGTAGCCAACCCACCAGAACCTCTCAGGGCCCTCCTAGCCGTCAGGCGCCGGGACAAAAGCGTCGTACCGCCAAACGAGCTCCGGTCACTGGTCTACTTGGAGTCAGAGCAGCTACAGGTCTTTGCGGACATTTTGCCAGACCCCGTGCGACCACAGTGCCGTCTAGTGCCGACCATGCACGCCGGCGGAGCCAGCATAGTATCAGAGGTGGCCCTGGGATTATCTTACACTGCTTTCAATGTGAGCTTCAGAGCCAATTGTGAGGCAGCTGGAAGGTCTTACAATTGTGGAGTGGAAACGTGTAGCATTTACGAAGAATGCATTAGTCAAGGTGAAAATCGACGACAGGCACCCGAATATAGTTGCAGGTGTTTATTTGTCGGTAAGTCTGCGATGGTTCCTCACTAAGACAAAGGCGTTTTTATGTGTATAAAAACTAGATTAAGTATTAAGAAGGTACTGAAATGTTTATGGCGTTTTATTGGTGCGATAATTAATTTTTGAAAAAGAATAACTGAGACCGTGCACGAAAACATTGTCGTGTCTGGAAAAAGGTACCACGAACTGTCAGCCTCCCTTCGCAACCATGAATTGCTCCGAAGCGGTTTGCAACCACCGTGGATCATGCGTGGTTGACGATGCAGGAGAGGTTAACTGCTTTTGCAGGGACCAGGGCAGATATGACGGCCCACGCTGTCAGATGACTACCCGTACTTTCAAGGAAGGCTCTTACCAGGCACACATGCCTCTGGGTCGAGTTTTGAGGGAGTTTCACATATCACTCAGGTAAAATATACTTCCAGATTATTTATTTATTTTTGCCTACAAAATTGCCTCTTATTCACCCGTCCCAAGTATCTTCATTGGGTCTCAAACCACAAGTTGGTTTTCTTCTTGAGATGGCATATTTACTCCCCCCCCCTCTATCGGCGACGATGAGCTGAAATTAGTTAAATCTAGAAAGGCGCAGGGGTGGGGGCGCTATATACATGAGTGCTCATAAGATAGTCTTTGATGATTCACGTCGGCCCCCTTCCAAAGGAAATCGGTAACCTGTCAGTGGATTTGTTTGACGTCAGATTTGCACTGATGATAGCCAGTCATTACAGTAAATCTATTGTGACTCACAACTTGTACCTGCTAGTGACGTAATCTTTTCCAGAGACTGGGGATGGGGGTCACTTCAATCCCACCCCCCCCAAAAAAAAACACGACGGTGGAAATTTGAAGAGTGGGAGAAGGACAATTTTTGGACACTACCTAAAACTCAGAGGCGCTGTTCATGATACGCATATACACCTTGATTGTACTTACATCTCTTAAATGCACCAACTACACATCAAACCAGCGTAATTGAACTTTTACACTCTTCCCACCTTTCAGTACTATTGAATATATTTCGGTTGTTGGGAAACTCAAAAGAATTCCCCCAAATCTGCATTTTTAGTAGGGGGTATGATTCAAGAGCCCATCCCCCCATCAAATTGGAGGGGATATATACCCCCCTCCCCTGGGATCTGTGATCCCCGTTATTTGCAAACCATTCAGGGGAGGATCCGGGAAATTTTCTGGGGTCAGGCAGGAGATATTTTTTAATATCTAATTTTGTTGCGGACGATCGGAAATATTGATGAAACATTACATGACACACATTGTTCAAAATGGTATTGGTGCACGATACTTCACTTACTTTTAATATTTTCTCCAAAACTTTTTCAGAGAGGGAGTTCGACCCTCAAACAACCCTCCCCCCTCTGCACTCGATATTCATTATAGATCAACCGCATGAAATCAAAGTGTTTGTGGTTTTCGGGAGACATCTCTTCCATCTCTCTGACGACGCAATGGGCACACTATCCGAAACGTTAAGTAAACCGACTCCTTTCGGTACCACACATGCTCACAAAAGAGATTTTTCAAACTTACACGGTGTAACCGCAAGCCACTTGCTTTACATATACTCACCATGCAAGCCTTCGGTTTTTATCTGTATTCATAAAATCAAATTCGTCAGTGAAGTGCACGCTCGAAATTGTCTTCGATCAAAACAGGCTTAACAGATAACCCATGAAATAAGTAGCATCTTTTTTACTGTGATACTTTCAGTGGCATAGATGGAGGGGACCCCCCCCCTTAACAACATCATTCCCAGTTGCACCTTCCTGGAAATTTGGAAAAACAAAAAAAATAGTTAGAATATTTTTTGGGGACGCTTCCGTTATAACATCCAACTGTCCCACTGCCCCCCCCGGCTACGCCGCTGGATGACGTACACTTTTAAGCTTGTTAGTAAAAAGGAGATGACTACCACGTTTACATGCTCAAAAATAATGAGGGGCCATGAATGAAAGCATCAATGGCGATCTCGTTGAACGGCTATTTACGGCAAACAGGCGCAAGAAAACATATCCTATTCGTTTACACAGGTTTCTGGAAAAAAAACATCACCATATGTCTTGCATTCTATGGCACATTTCTCGACTTGCAGATTCAAGACAGTGCGACCCAACGGCCTCCTCCTGTACAACGGTCAGCTGGGCGGGAGGGGCGAGTCCGTGGCACTGCAGATCCTGGGCGGCATCTTGCACTTCAGGAGGTCCGGCAGGGCGGATGCCGGCAGCGGTGGTACTAGCGCATCTGTTGCCAGGAATGTCAGCGATGGGGCGTGGCATGACGTCTACATCAATCACTCCGGCGGGGTGAGCTGACCTTGATTCCTAATTAATACACGAAAAGTTCAAAGCATGACTAACAAGAGCAAAGTGGGTTAAAAATGGATCGTACTTCTTTGTTTTAAATACGGGAAAATTTGGAGTACTGATAGATCTTGTGTGACTGGTTTCGAGTGCAAAGTGTTGACGCTGGCAAGTTTGCCTCCTACTCTACTGATTGAGCCAGTGTCATAACTTTGTCTTAATTTATGATGGGACATATATCTAGGTGCGGAGCAAGGTAAACTTATAGGGTTCGGGTGTCCCCGTGCCCCTCCTGTTACTCCACTCGATTTTCTTCGCATCCTGCAGCGGCGTATCCGGCTTTTGGTGCGTTGGGGAATGGGCTAATTCAAAAGCGAATGCGGCTCCTGGCTTAGTCAACGTGATGCTTGGGGGAGAAAAAAACTATTAAAAAAGCCTTACTCGAGGTCCCAAAATCCGTCAAGGGGCAAATTATCCTCCTGCCCCCCCCTCGCTGGGTATACCACTGACATCCTGTAGAATCACTCTTTGCACCCAATGACTCCATTACCACGATCCCAAGATCAGTTTGCCTGTTGCCTTTAATGAAATGCGATGCACCTGGGCTTGGAAGTCCCCTCATACTACGCGTTGTTTTGGCTAGAATGTTGTGATGGGAATAGACAACTGCACCTCAGCGGCGGCCGCCTGGAACGTGAGTTATGCCGACTCGTCTTGCCTAGGAATTGGTGTGCAGAGGAAAGTCCCGCGGGCCAAGTAGGTTTTTCGATCTGTGCCTCTTTTCGTTGCAGCTTCAAAGACAAAATTTTGTATTCGCTTAGATTTTGAATGGAAACTAGCATGTAATATTTTTAAAAAGGTGAAGTACAGTCCGCTTGGAGTTGTGAGCCTGTTTCTATCACCGGTTTTGTAGCATTAAGTTGCAAATTGCTTCATTCCCTGGTAAATTTTAATACGTTTTTATATGTTACAAAACGAAATTGTTTTATTATAGCGGAGATCACTTTAAATGTAAAATATTACTAATAAATGTACCACGCCACATACGCTGGAGCTCCTTAACGTTGAGCTTGACATCCTGTATTCGCACAAGTCCACAAAGTTAATTATTGGTGCAAACATCCAAATTCGTGAGCATAAAAAACTAACGATTTTACGTGTATTTTGTGCGTAATTTTATGTTAGGTTCCTGAACCTCAATGGGCCACTTTTTCTAGGGGGCATTCCATCGTTCGTGAGCGCTGGCCACGTGACCTCGGCCCATTTCATCGGCTGTCTCAACATGGTCCAATTCAACTCGGCCATAATCGACCTCTCAAATAGACTCAAGAATGTCGGCACGTCGCCCCGCTGTAATGAAGAAAGCGACTCTTCCGAGACTTCGGTTACTAGAGTCAAAGGTGATACCAAGTACCCTCGTAATATTTTTATATGCACTATGAAACTCGTTTTGGAGAGCAGGAGAGCAATGAAAGCAACTTCGTTTCCCTTCTTCAAATATTTACAAAGCAAACTCACTTCTTTATCTTCGTTTGGGTACAGCGGCTGCTGCTCTTTATTTTGCACAGTCTTGCCAACCTTGTTATTTTTCGATTTGGGTGGATTTTGAGAGGGCCACTGACCACATCTGAATTCCCTGGCTATGGCAGGCAACATTATTGTGATAGTACAGACGGTCCATGGGAAATTATTGCAACTGTTAGTCGGTGGCATCCATTGGATACAAGTACCATTTTCAGCCTTAACGGGTTGCCAGTTCGTTCCTATAACGAGGCATTGCATATTGTATAATTTCACAGATATGAAATGCCCGTTATAGGGATCGTGAATTCTTTATGAGACCCTGCCACTGACACTACCCGGTTTCGTCCTTGTCACTCCCCCTCGTCGTGTTTACTATCACTAGATGTGGAAGTATCATAACTATTGGATAAAAAGCCACCCTTTCCATGAATTTCGTCTTTGAATGCAGTTCCTCGTACGGTCAGATCCCTGTCAGTGCGTCCGCGGAAACGAACGCTGGTTGTCAAGTGGATCCCACCCAAAGACAAGTCGGAAGAAGTGATTGGTTACCAGATCTCCTACGTCGAAGGTAAGACATAAAATAGTGAACCATTAAAGGGATCCCGTACTCGATGATAGATATACTCAGATTAGAACGGGCAAAAATCCATCGCATGAACGCCTTGATAAATTTTTAAATAAGAAATGTTAAGATTGGCTATTTAATCATGACAACATATTCTTTATTTCGTGTATACCCGCTTTACCAGATCGTTTAATCCATAGTCAGGAACTTTGCCAGAAAAATGATTTACCGACCTATGTATCAATAAAACAGAGATTTGTTATTTTAGTTGACCGATATCGAGAAAATGTAGCATCTCTGCATTTTTTCTCGGGTTGATTATCTGTGACTTTAGAAAATGCCCTTCTCGTTTTCATTGTATTGGAGTTCTATATCATTCTGCTGGACGCTGAAGATTGGGATACTGGATCACTTTATTCTTAGGATGCCGAATAATGCCTGATGATGGCAGGAGATGTTAGTCGTGCTGCCCGTCTAACCAGTCGATATTGCGTAATTTTGACGGGCTCTCGACCCATCAGAAGAATGGATGTCGTCCCACGTGATCTTCATTAACACAAAATGAGGATACACAATATTCCATTTATACGTGGGGGTGTTGGGTAATTTTAGAGGGGATCAACGAACGTACCGTTTTGTGTATTTGTTTGTGTACTACGGTGAGTGATTTTTGTATTATGGGACTTTGATTTGCGTTTGTACGTAAATCTACTGTATATACAATATGCATTTTCTAAATACCCGTTGAAACAAAATAATAAGAATAAAAGAAATACTGTACCTTTGGAAATTTGGAGATTCAGTACAAAGTACAGAAAATCGATACAATGAAATAAGTTACAGCATATCTTCCCTCTGTAGAGTAGACAAATGGCATCCCCTGAACTGTTGAAGCGTTGCGTACATCATAACAGCATCTGTATAGGTGTGCACGACTCTAGCTTGGATCGTAAGGGAATAATGACTTAAGAAAGGTGAGTCATTGATAGACGGCAAACAACACAAGTCTCGTGCCCTGTCGTCCTGTGGTTGACCGGCGAACGCTGCATACTTGACTAATTTATCTTGAATCACCACAACACTGTGCACTCATCACCATGACAACACATCATAGGTCCAGCACGATCGTGACATTACAAGAAAAAGGTATATTCACCCTCTTAAAAAGTCCGTCAAATTTAGCCCTATATTTGGGCATTACTCTGTTCAAGGCTTTGTTTACTTCCATGCCTTTATTTACTTTGTTTTTAAAGGCAGTGTATAGGATTTTCATGTATTGTAATTTGTCAACATTTGCCAATTTTGTGGTTTATGATTTAGTTTGTGCATCATTTCAAGAACCATTGTCATTTTTTTAGTTCACTACTTTAAGGAAAATTGAGAAGAACGCTGTTCATTTTTAACACTCGAAGACCAACTCGTGTAATTTGTCTCGCAAAACTCCACGGGCCACTGGACGTTCCTGAGTACCGCGATAGTACACGGGCGAAGTCGATCTGGAGACCAACTGCAGCCCTCAAAAATACATTTTTTTCCATGGCACTGAGTGGTTTGCAAATTTACATTCAAGTTTGTGTTTCCTCTTCAGCAATGCAATGCTGGAAATTATGTAGAATAAACACCATGTCATCGTGCATTGAGTTAACTGCAGTCACCACAGTCACAGCGCGACCAAAATGAACAGTGTATATGTACCGGTACAGTGCATATGCACGATCGACCGGTTTGTGCGCTCTTCACACGTAGCCTCCCATGTCGGGCAAAAACGCTCCATACACTGTCAATGCCCTTCATAAACTCTTTATAAATCAACAACCATGGCAACTATCATTGCATTTTGGGCATAAGATCTACTGTAATTGGAAAATAGGAAGTTTCATTCCAAAATATCCTGGTGAGTTCATTATCTTCTAAATATGGGTAACTTGACAAAAATATGGAATATTGTGTATCCTCATTTTATGTTGATAACAGTCACGCGGGACGAAATCCGGTCTTCTGATTGGTCGAGAGACGGTCAAAATTATGTAGTATTGCCATACTGGCCCAGAATTGGGTCCCATTCAGCATTACCCTTTTCCAGATCAAATTTTGACCCGGAAAAGGTCAAATATGACTCAAAAGGGAGTCATAATTTGACCCAGAAAAGGGTCATGCCAAATGGGACCCAATTGTGGGTCAATCTGACCCGGGAGTGTACAGTCTCCTCTGCATGTAACATAAGTGTCCAACCAGATGGAAGAAGTACTCCGTCTAGACGAACTGCGTTGCCGTGGGAGTCTATCCTCCTGTGTACATACATGTATTAAACGGGTTCCTCAGTGTTAATGTGTTTATGTGGTCGTAAATGTCATACGTTTAAATGTTGGTATGGCTCTTCGAAAATTGTTATGTTCTTGATCGGGTAATAGTTATGTTTATGAGTATGTACTACGCCGACCAATATATATGCCTTACTTGAAAGAGCAATAAACCTTTTCTATACTCTTATTACATCATGGGATTCGATGGTGAGCATTCCAGGCATTTTGTGCATAAATCTTAGAGGGGAAGTGAACCTGTTTTAAACATAAGTAACTTTTTCTCCAGACCAAGTCACAGATACATGCATAGTATACAAGAATGTTAATTAATTAAAAGAAATGGGTAAACAAAATTTACTAAAGCTGGTAATTCGAAAATATTGCCCTAGCTATATGTATTTCGTAAAAGGCTACACTTACTGTAAGCTGTGTAAAATGAACATAATTTAACAGTGCAGGATGAATAAGCTTCAAATCTTTTCTCTGATTGGCCAAAACTACATCAGTCGTTGTTTTCATCATATGCAAAGAGTTCTCAAAATGTTATTTCTCTTCTTAAACTTCGAAATCCAATTTTTGTGACTATCTTTATACCAGGCCTATAATGCAACATTGTGTGAAAACAGGATAACCTGAATTGGAGTACGCAATGAATAGGAAACAGATTAATGTTTGCAGTCACACGTCCTCCGTAGGGTTGTACAGAAAAACATTGCTTGTTTGTCGTCCACTCCTGTGATGCATTACAACTGTCGCAAAAGGAATTATTGAAATGAAAGGCATTTAATTAAAGAAAGGAATCAAAATTGAAGCTGGGCTGTGATCAGGGGCTTATTAATGAACATGACTCATGTTGTTGGCATTTTTCCACGTGGCGAACGTTCGCTGTCGGCTAAGATCATGTTTTCATTGGGGTTTTTTAATCGCGTATCGGAAACTGTGCGTGATTAATGAGTCTGCGATCGAAATTGTCCTTGTATGGTGCACGCACAAAGCAGCGATGTTGCTAGACCACCCCCCCGCATACCCGACCAGATGTTTACGGATCACTGTTCTTTTGTGTGACTGATGAAGTGAACTCATCTGTAATTCGCAAAATTATCATCTGACGGTTGCTTTGCTGCGGAGATCGAATTCAGGCCAGCAATGTTTTCTACAAAGTCCTTGGAAAATGTTTCAGCCATTGTTCTCGAAAGTCAACCCGTTTCTGGATGGTCTAGGGCGCCTCGTGTCGATTTTTTAAGGAAAAAAAAGGGGAAATATGGTGTATTAAAGGCTTTTGGATGGGTTTCAGATGTGATTATTTTAATCTGGCGAAGGAATGACGAACCGACAATCTTGCAGCGGTCTAGGAATGCGCTTCTAGCAGTCAGTCGGGGGGGGGTCGAAACGATTTAATGAACAGCAGTGCTGTTTAAGTCTTAAAGGTTGCCCTGTTATTACCATTCTGAAGCATAAGCACCATGGCCTCTTAAACTCTTGTTCGAGGGAACACGTCCACGTTAGCCAGCTGCTCGATTGCATTTTGCCAGGGTGGGTATACTATGCAAAACGAGAAACTGTAGCTCCTGGCCTGGTTTGTGAAGTAATTCGGTTTTTCTTCGATCATTTAACACTTTCAGTCTACTGAAACATAGATTTCCATACCGATGAAGATTTAAGCATGTGTGCTAATTGAAGCTTTTGAATTTTTTTTACACAGTGAATGAAAATGATGATCCAATATCGGCCACCAGGTCAGTGATTATCAACGGGGCTACCCAGCGAACCTACACTATCGAGCGGCTCAGTACTGGCACGCGTTACCTGGTAACAATAAGGGCTTTCTCTGCTGTTGGCTTCGGAGAGTCCGCACGCGACTTTGTGGTGACGAAAAGCAGCAAACCCGGCAATTAATATCTGTCAGAACATGGGGACTACCCTCTTAACATACATCAGTATGGCTTCTTACTGCTTACTGAAATAATAAGCTAACTGCCGGAGGCCATATATCATAGCTCTTCCAACCTGTCAAATCTAAGCCGTGTACTTATCCTGTCCACATATCCATTCTCTGAACCGTTTGATCATAATGGAAATTTTTCTTGTTTAAATTACATGTACTTTAAAATTACTTTAACTGTATGTTAAAGTTACAGATTCTCATGTTGAATGAATAATCATGTTTATACAAAATTGAAATGTTTCTGTTTGCACGCACAACATCACCGACAGACCTATAGGTTTGGTCAAGAGTGAGCAGTTGAGAGTGCACGATACATTTCGGTAGTGTGGACACTCCAAAGTCCCACAACCCGGCAATATAAATCGTTACCTTACAAAGGAACGAAGTCCTTAAACCAGGTGGTGCCTGTCATTGAACTGTTCAGATTTAATTGATTTCTAAAACATTCATGGACTTCAGGTCTCTTGTAGGCCTACATTAGTATTCACTGCACACGTATGTCGCCAATGGTAATGCGCGTCACTGAAAATTTATTGTTTGGAGTCTTATCAACCTGTCGTCTATAGACCTTTTTCACCCACGTGACTAAATCTAAACAATACCACCACGTGTGGACAGCCTTGGCCACGGTGATCGCATAATTTATATTCCTACAGGCAGTTTCAACCATGTGCAAGCGCATGTGCGAACGCTGCATGCTTGACTAGTTTATCTTGAATAGGTAAATTACCATTACAACACTATGCACTCATTATCATCGCAAAACATCATAGGTCCTTCACGATCGTGACATCACGGGAAAAAGGTCTATATAGGGCCTATTAATTATTAATAATGCCAAAGTCCTTTCCATCAGCAACCGAAGGTTAAATTCAGTCACCCAGTTCATCAGCCAAGGGATTTTCTGTTGTAACTGAACCTGAAATATTGAGCTCACTATCACAGTTCGTACCCGAGATTTGCTCAGCGACTGCCATTTTACCCAGTCAGTAAACACCCATAATATAGAATATCAGTTCAAACAAATCAAACGTTTGCCGACTCTATTGGCATCACATTACTCAGGTACAATCCATCTTTCAACACCAAAGGTAGTGGAACATCCTAAGAATCGATTTGCATGTTCTGCTAAATGAGGGTATATTCAATGTAACACAGAGATGTATCCCATTCGCACTGGGGCAGTGCCTCTCTCAATACATACGCTGAAAGTCGATATACATGAATGAACAGTATCTGGAATTGTTAAATTGCTCTGACCCACCTCTGCAAAATGTTACGTTTGCGAAATTGCATTTCATCTCTCGTTCAGCGGTGCATGCAACTTCTGGTGTGTGTGTGTGGGGGGGTTCAAAATCGGTTACAACTTCGGGCTGATTCAACATGATGCTGGCGAGAGAAGAAATCAAACGCCTTAAGCCGCCTCTCTGTGTGCGCGTCAACACTTGCGCCAAGCGTTGTGTGTCTATTTGAATCGCTCCCAGGCGATTTTGACGACTGCATGCAACGCACTCGTGTTATGTTGGAGTCGATTTTTGTGTCCGTGAAAGTGAAACGCATGAACGCATCGTGTACGTAACGCAAGCAAACACCCCCCCCCACCGGGTATATGGAAAGGTGTTTGTTTCGTGGTATTGTTTTCTTAGGGTTATGGTGCTAATAATTGGTAAATAAGATATTTATATTAATAGTTGATTGTAACAAAACCCGTCGGAGTGCAAGTTGCCCCATGCTAGATACACCACTGTTTCCGTTATATTTCCGAGGGGAAGGAAAAACTAACTCATATAAGGACAAAATGTGGAAAAGGGAGATTTAGTGCTACGTGTATGTGAACAAATATGTGATGTTAAAAGACACGCCGTCGTCGTCTCTTACCAGCTTCGTGCATAAAACATCTATATAGTCTGGGTTGAAATTCAACCCCCAGGTTGAGGGTTCTTGTTGCTATTGCTGTTAGCATCCAAGCAGCAGGCAAATGGTATTTTGATGTCTTATGTTAAAGGGACGACCAGATATGCATTTTTCCCAAACAGCAGCGCATGACATCAAGAAGTCTGCCTCTGTACAATATGAATATGTAATTTAGCAGACCCATCAATACAATTTCCAACATCTGAAAAATATTTCACTTGCAACTGATGAATGCATATTGAAATCGATATTCGATATGACCTCTCAACCCATATCACAATATTCACTTTGGTGCTGTTCGTTACCTTGTGTAGAAGTGTGATGTGATCGAAGGTGACATTGTCTAATCCTAAATTAATGGAGTAGTTTAATTACCAATGATTTAGAAAGTCTGGTACACGGTGGAAAGATTGCAATTTAGAATGCTGTAAACCGTACACATTGTTTCATACGTGTTTTCTCAAAGTTTCACCTACTTGCACTCTGTGGTTCAGGCTGACTTGTGCTTAGACGAAGCAAAGTGTTTGAGTTCGCTTTCACCACAAATCTGTTTTTAAAGTCCATTGTTTGAAAGATGTATTCTTTTTCAGTCCGGTCAGACAGACTGTTATGCTGAGTGCCCTGCCCTTCGATATGTAATATACTCAAGTCATAAGCTGCCCAGGGGGCACATTTTCAGCTGGAGATACTTCGTTGCTGGACCTCACGTGCTTATAATGTCAGGGGAGGGCGAAACATTCGAGTCGGTTGGAAGTAACAAAAGATAAACAAAATGACAAAATGAAATACGTTTTGTCAGCTCATCTTGTTACACAGCTTGAATAAAACTTGATATTTGGGGATATTTTGGAGAGCCTCGTGGAGTGTATATGGACTTGTGATGCGCTCGATTACAACGCACTAAAACAAAGTAGAGTACGATTCTATAATTTGCTGATGAATCCACTATGTTTTCCTACGTAATATGATTAGTCAATAATTGAAGGCTGCAGGAAAGAAGTCAGCTCCGTAAGAAACACCTAAAGCGATTATACAGCCTCGTGTACTATAGGCCCTATAGGAACTACGTCTTTAAAAGCATGTAGCATTTTTGCTTATGGCCAGACTTTTATGGCTTGACCAAAAAGGTGGCCTTCTGGCTCTTATATCCTGTATGAAGTCTTGAAAAATTAATTCCGTTTGACATCTGATGCTTATTGTAGAAGAAATCTATAAGACAGTTTGAGAATTGTTATTAAGAGATATTCTAGCCTTTTGATAATCCTTCGAGATTTTTCTGGTTTTCGGGGCGATAATGTCATCTAAAAAAAGACTCTCATAAAAGACGCTTATGCATCAATGGCCGATCCAGAGCCAAATTGCCGGGGGACCAAGTTGATTTTTTTTGGGGGGGGATCAATTTTTTTAGAAATTTTTGATGTCACCTTTAGTGGCCTTTCTGGGAAAAGAGCTATAAGTTGGACTTTTCACGAGCTTTGCGAGGGAAGAGAGATTAAAAAGAGCAAACAATTGCCTTTCTCTCTCTCTGTTTTAAAGTATTGTTTTGGGTTCCATTTAGGGAGGGTTGCGTGTGTCTACCGTCAAGTCTCCAGGATCTGCCTCTGTAATGCATACACAAATATTATTTTTGGTGCTTTAAAAATAAGGTCTTTTTAAATTTAAATAGTTACACTACGAATGCTACTTACTCAAAAAGACTGATATTTCTGCATCAATTACTGCTACTCTTTTTAACATGTAATGAGTTGGCAGTTGTAAATAGGCGTTAATTAACGACAGATTGGGGGGAAAATGAGAATAACCTTTCCTCAGAAACCAAGTAAACTTAATTACCAATGAAACTGCATCACTGCAGCCGTCTTTCGCTGTCCAGTCTAGCTTTTGTTTGGATGTTTGACATTCCGATGAGATTTTGAGACGAACCTCTTGGACACTTGGACGGGCACAGTCCCTCTACAAACGCCCGTCTGTATGCCGGGCTCGTCAGCGTGTATATGAATGGATTTACTGCAGAGTTGGTGTAAAGCAAGCAGCGGCAAATATTGAGCGTAAGAGAGAACTGGTCCTCGGTAAGAACTGATGGTGTACCGGTAAGTCTCTTGATGGCTAGACCAAGTGCTAGTGCCTCGAAAGGCATCAAGAAAACGAAATAGGTAGTACCGTTGATGATCAGCATCCGCGTGATTTGATCCCTAATTTGGGCTTGTTCAAGGGCAATCTCGCTGCTTAGTCTTTGACGCGTGCGTGCCTGCTGTCGGAGCTTCCTGGCGATCAGTACGTAGACCGAGAAGTTAACAAACATCGTCGCAAAGAACGGCACCACCTGAACGCAGTTGGAGAAGTTGAAATACCACGCGACCACCGACGTACAGCTCCCTGTGATCCGGGGCAGTTGATCAAACTCTTCAGGCGGGGACCAGGTGATACATGACTCATCCCACTCCAACCTGTCCGGGATGAGGAGACAGGCAGCCGATGCGCTGATGACCCAGCACCACACAATTCGACCCACCACCCTTTTCCTTCCATCGGAGCTGCTCCGGAACGAGAAGGGCTTGCACACGGCAGAGTACCGCTCCATAGAGAGCAGAGTGATCAGGAACAGTGACACATAAAAACACAGGTCAGACACAAAGTACAAGAGCACACAGCCCGGCACTCCCAAGATGGACTCGTCCGTGACGACAGGGGAGGACAGGAAACGGGACAACTTACCCGCGACAGCCACGGCGACAAAGGTGATGTCTACGACCGCTAGGCACGCGAGGTAGGAGTTGGACGACACCTGTCGCATCCACTCGACGCGAGCTACCACGAGGAGGAACGCACCATTCCCAAAAAAGCCGACGGTGAGGATGAGAGGCATGATGACACAGATCACGGTGGTGTCCCCTGAGCTGTACATGTAGTATGAGGCATTTTCGCGGGTTAACAAAAGTTCGGTTTGGTCTGGAGGACAAAACGTGCTCTGCAGCTCCGATGCGTTCATAGCCACAACTGACATAAGTTATAAGAGGACCAAAGGGAATCTAAACAGGCCGATACTAATTCGAAATTGGACCTCCAAAACGTCTGTCGTTCTTGTAACTCCTAACGATAATGAGACACGGAAAACGAATGACTGCCTGTGCCCCGGTGCACAGATACAAAACCATCGGGTTTCCCTTTCCACTGCATGGTTGTTATAGAACCTTCACGAGAAACGCCCTATAACACTGTAATATTGCTCAACGTTTGACGGCATGCGTCCGACCCTTGGTTGTAAATAATCAACTCTGATCAAACAATAACCGAAAGCGACTCAAAGGCACTACACGCAGTTCGTCACTGATAGGTCGAAGCTCATCAATATGCATCCGTGCTTGATGGGCCCAGACAGTTCCTCAAAAAGAGAATGCTATTTCCAAGTATTAAAGGGCGAAGGCTATTTTGAATGATGGCACAGCGTCTTAGAAAATGCCGAACCAACTAAAATGCCAAACACATATACAGGCTCATTTGCGATTCATGCTACGCACGAGTATTCCCCCAATACATCTTACAATTCTATACGAACAGCTGCGACTTCAAGTAATTCATCAGGTATGAAAGCTTTGTAGCGTTGCATTGATACCAATACGTCGACGAGATGCGTAAACTGGAAATGTCTGGTAGGAGATGAATAAAGGTGATGCAAGATAGACGAACCTTAAAAATGTCAGGTTTCGAATTACAAGAGGTACATGGAATGTTGCAATATTTTCACACCTTAAGACAGGAAACAAAAGGTCACCTTGATCGTACACTTTATAAAATTATATTTTATTTTCACCGTGTATTTCAATATTATGGGTGAACAGTTTTAAAGTAAAAGAATTTTCTGCGGGGAGGCTTGGGGTTTTTTCATTTTTACAAGAAGCTGGATACAGGACATTTAACAGAAAAAACTTGTGAAACTCGGGCCAATAATCGGCGATGATAACTGGTGATTATATTGCTGTTTATCAGGATTTGCAATTTTTATTCATGACTATTTGGTTATATGCATTTTCTGGTATATTTTAATGCGCAACCATTAAAATCCTTTCCTTCTTTATACATATCACACACGCACGCCTTTATCGTCACACTGGGATAGAGAGAAGAATATCAAGTGAGTCTCTTCGTTTTGTGCAAGTTGTGGGCTAAACCTCATGATGCAAAATCTGGAGAGAAGCGCATCGCACCATTTCCCTCGTCTTTGTGATTTATGACTGTTTATCGTGACCAATTGAAAACAACGTTTGGATTTATACAGAACGTCCATTGAAAATAACCAGATTGTCAGCGAGGTGCTGACTGGTCGGCTTCGTGAGGAGAGGAGGATAAACCTAAATGCCATGGCCAAAGTTAAAGCGGGTTACGGGTCGAAGGGGGCGGCATCGCCCATTTCGTCATGCCTAGTGATTAAATCGAGATAAATCTAGCGTCCCAGAATCGGCTGTCAGCATCCACTCATACTGCTGAAAATCGTTTTGTTTATAATATCTTTTTCTTAGAAAAGCCAGTATCTCTGTTTACAGCTCATCTCGCCGTGGGGGCTATTAATTTCGCCATGGATGCCACGGATCGTGCTATACACCCAATTAATTTATGATCAACCGGATGGCTTTTGTCGATTCTGTCGCTGATAGAGAAAAATTGACAAAAATGTCGTAATGTTTTCAGCATGGTGCCCTTATTCTGTGACATTGCCACGTCTGACCTAATGCACTGGAAATTTACGCCCCATGCGCAATTAACTGATTTTGGGGGAAAAAAATTGGGCCCTCGCATATGTCTTTCATATTGAAAACCTCCTTGGAGTGTAAACGGTCGAAAATTCCATTGCCTGCCACATTCCTCCTAGAAATTATTCAAGCTACCAGATATCAGGCAAATATTACCAAGGATGAAAACAAACTCATGTACAGTGGCACAGCAAAGGGGTTGGAGGTACCTGCCCCCTTTGGGAACTCTTGCCCCACTCTGAGAAAAGCCTGGCCGCTGTTTACTTATATAGATACCGATACCATGGGCGTAACCCCCCGCACGTTTTGAGATGGGGGATGGGCTGTTGAATCACCCCCCCCCACTTTTTTGTGATAAGCAAAAACATTAAAGCCGATTGCGAAGAATTTTCGGGATTTCCCAACGACTAAAATGTTTGCAGTATCAATAAAAAGGAATACAATATTTAAAAGCCATAAATAGAATTCTCATGTAATAGAGTATATGGTGTCGCCCACCCCCAGCCCCATGCAGCTTTTTAAATTTCCATGGCTGGGCAAGTCACACACCCCCCCCCCATTTCCAACACAGCTTTATGCCGCTGATAGATACATTTCATGCGAAGTCACACGCATGATTTTGACATTCGGCTGTCATTAAAGATAGATATCTTTAAATCGGAAGACTCAGTAGTTATGGATGTATACTATTATTTCATTTATTTGCTGGTTTTTCTCGACATTAAATGGATATTCTGCTCTGCTGATAACACAGTTATCAGCCAATACAATCATTGAATAACTACCGGTACCCAGTGGCAGGTTGTTTGGTGTCCAGTTAAAAGGTCAATAACTGCGTTGACTTTGTAGCACCCCCCTTAAAATGCGCTCTGGAGGCACTCTAGTCCTTATTTTCGAAATATAGTCCGGTCGCCACGAGCAAATATATGTCAATATATAGACTGGCAAATACATGTCAATACAGTTATCGTTGCTTAAATTAGTGTGTGTGACTAATATATAGGGAGTATTGCAATTTGGACCTGTTGATTGGTCCAATACACATTTTGTCGACTAAAGAAAGTTTTACCATTAAAAATAGGCATCGAACGGCGCAGGCATTTTTCGCAAACGTTTGAGTGAACGATAACATTTTCGCATTTGCACGTGAAGTGAAGCAGCCACTTTCGCTTTCAACACACAAGTGGGATGCACATTCTGTCATCTATCCACTGAGCAGGAGCACAACGCAATGTTGAAATTAGGCCTATATCACGTTCAACGTGAGGGATGTACTGAGCACGGTTCACAGTATGAGGTTCCAAGCGCTGTTTTACAAGGAAAGTATAATCATCGCTGATTCACGTCGTTTGGGGGCTCAGTCATTCATCACTGTAGGCATCAATACTGCAAATTCATCAATTTTTGCTGTAGCGAGGAACATGTCAAAATACTGGCTATGACTGGCTTTCCGCACGAAGGCCAGTCAGCGGTGATCGAGTGTTTTGCCGCTAGTCATGCGAGGTAGCTTGTTGGCGGTTGATTGCGAACCCGTTGCACTTAAGGGCGGTAAGGTAATCACGAGGAGGACGCTTTGATGTTATTTGATGCGCTGGTGAATATGGATTTCCTGTTGTGGTAAATCACGTCGACTAAGCGGAACGGCTTGAGTCAAGAGTGATGTTTTTGCCCATTTTTTCATGAACTGCGGTTGAGCTTATTCATGAAAGCAACATGCCACCAACAAATCACTTTTCGATGGATGGAAAAAAATGAGATGTAAAAGGATTCCATGCGTGTGATTCAAAGCAACTTCAAACTTGCCAATTTATTTCTGTCCCCTGTCCATCGCTGATATCGCTGATTTTCCAAAAATATAGGCTACCCTTGAATAGTATTAATTAAGAGCACATATCATGCTGAATAAAGTAATTGAACACTTGTGATGTCGTTGGGCTCCCTGGACTTAATGGCGCTGTTTTAATGATTTGCCTTTTTTTAGAGACTCACAATACTGTTAGCTGCTATTGTTTTACTGGCTTGTTTCACTGTTTTTGTTCATTGCCTTGGGAAGAAACAATGAGAATAGTGTCTGTTTCAGTGCTGAAGGCTCAGGTCAGTTAACTTGTCTAACCTAAAACCCATCGACCACGGGCCACTTATCTGGGCTCGAGGTCAGTGTCTGTATAGAGTGCTCCAGAAAAACCAACCCCTTTGGAAAGGGGTTAATATGCCCAAGCCATGAGATATGATTATAATGTACATAGCGTGAAATTACGGTCGTACGTCAGACATTTTCTGATTACTTATTGTGTTTGTCCGAACAAAACCAAAGATGCTCGGACAAAATGTCCAACGAACATATCAATAACAGCTCTTGAAATATCAACAAAATATATAGGATTATGGCGTCCGATTTATCATTAGTTTTGAGTTAGAATTACGTTAATTACACCAAAGGCATTCATCAGGGCTGATCGCTCATCACCGGCCTAAGTCACCCAGCGCCACGTGTGCTCGTATATACTTTACTTGCACAGACATGAAATAGCCTCATAATTCTCTGCGCATCGTCAACGTTTACGTTTCGCTGTCTAAGTGGTGAAAACGCGTACCCGAAATTCTATGCATTATATATACGAATCTACTCTGGTACCCGCCACGCCGCACCCATGCAAAAGAATGCGTGATGGAAATGTAGCAACCAGTACCAGTCTATATTGTACACGTAGTGCATGTACTGTGCAAGTAAACACTCTTCTTCGGCCGTACGTACGCATTGCGAATGCAAAGGCTGCGTCCGGAAAGACATCGATGTTATGTTGCAAGAGGTTTTCTGCAAGTTAATTCTCAGAACTTGGTCTCTTATTTATGTCTGTATTTTCTGTGTTCATGAGTGTAATTTGAGGTTGTTCTGCTCATGGCGCAAGGTTTAACGTCCGCTGATCTAGATGCATCACGCACGCTTACCACGGGATACACGGATGCTGTTGGCCAGTTTGCTGCCGTGATTGCCGTTGTGATTGTGTGAATTGTTCATAATTTTCTTGTGAATTGCCGTATGTAGAAATTTTACATAGATTAACACATGTGTTCATCACTTTTTGAGATACTTTTGGAGGCTTTTTGGATGTCATTCAATCAGCACAAAATTGCCCGCAAACAAAAAAAATGTTCCGACCTACCGACCCAATTTTTGAGAGGAATGCACAGCAGAACTACATGTGCGTTTTTTTAGCCTGATGAAAGACTGCATGTGCAGTATGCCTTAGTTAAATAACAATCATGGATTCTGAGAAATCTTTGGCAAGTGTTGCTCCACTTCGAGCAAGCGAATTTGTGGCAAGGCCTGCCCGATCAGGCAAACTAAAAAAAAAAAAAAAAACATCGCGGCCTGCGCCTGAACAAGGATTGTTCAATGTGGCTGCGTGTGCGGTTCTGGTAGGACCAGGGGAAAAAAGTAAATTTGACCTCTGACACTGTACGTTAAAACTCTACCTTTTATATAATATGGCACTGTCCATTGGCAGAGCAAAAGATGGTAATTGCAGAACAAAATTGATTTTGTTTTGATATTTTATCCAAGAACCTTTTTGGTCTAATTTCGCGCTCTGATGTATACGGATCTCCGAAAAGTAGAAGCAGTATTCTTTCTAATGATACCTTGATGGTATCCCTCATGTCATGCATGACTGAACACCATTGTCCACTTTTAAGAGATCCTTATACATTAAAATCATATCCCATGGTTTGGGCATATTAACCCCGTTCCTCGGTTTTTTTTTCTTCTGGGACACCCTGTATGTCGACCGGTATCGAGGGTATAGTGTTTTAAACATTAGTTTCCATCGATCATTCGTCCGGACTGTTGTTTGGAATAACCTAAAATGTTTGAGTGGAAATAATAGCATTCCAGGTGTAACCATTTTCTTGTGAAGACTCCCCTCGTTATTTACTTAAAGGGTCCATGCTGACCTACCCAAACGAACAGCTATTTTCTTCTTTATGTTGTGCCTGGATATGTCAGTAACAGTACAAATGGTGAAAAAATGAACAAAATGTATTTAGTTATTGTTAATTACTGTTTTTCACCCCCCCCTCAAATCTCCGACAAACGGTGTGACGTACGTTTAAGAACCCGCAATCGTAGCCTGGTGCCATTTGGGCCGTCTGAAACCCAGAGTAAGCACGCATGGCTTCCTTCGCAGTGGCGTACGTGGAAATATCGTAGCCTTTTCCGTTCGCGCTCCTCTAAGGCTCCTCTTCGTTTTTCCATTTTTTTTTCTTGGACTTCGCACTTGGTAGGCATATTGTCGGCACTGCATCCGGTTTTAGCAGCCTCTTGAACTTCATGCCAAATGAATCTTGCAGGCTTGCAATGGGCTCGAAACGTTCTGGCTTGAAGAGGTCTCTGCAGAGTTTCCAGCTCGGCGTTGGTCAAGTCCACTTGGCCCGTGCATGTGTGAGCTTGACTTTCGCTTCCCCCATTTTGCGATATTTCACGTCTTTTGGGAAATTATGCATGCTTGTGCCATTTTTAGAAGTATTTCCAAAAACTGCAGCAACGCACCTGGTTGGCATTTTCCTGAAATATCACTAGAACATCGGCAAGTTGGTGATCTCGAAGTCGTACTAATACTATAACGCGCTGAGTTACAGTGGGCAAACGTGCATCGGGGGGCTGCTAGCTAGTCGATGACTTCACAAACGTACGTCATAATTATGCAAAATTCTTATGCTAATTAGGTACATCGACAGGGGCAGGGCTGTTTGGCAAACACTCGTTAGTATTATTTTTCTCTTATGTATTAATTACTAAAATTACTTTTATTTACAGGAAATCTTCTTAAACGAATTATCTTCCAATTGCAATGATAAAACTGCTTTTCATGGGCCCTTTAATATGTAACCTATTCAATCGTTATTTTGCAGGTCTATTGTACGCTATTTTGGTATATTTTTACCTTTTTATAGTGCATGCACTAATAGAAAGATAACTGGAATTCGGTTGACGTATGAGGAGAAAACATACTGTAACTTCCTCACGTCATTCTTGCACTGGGAAATTACGTCTGAACCCACACCATTAATTCTGCACTTGCAAGCCTATTATAAACTTCCACCACTGACACACACACATTATCCGGCAAAGAATCGATTGAACGGAGAAAGTAAATATTTTGGCCGAGTTCGATCGATTTGGTTGTTCGCTGTTGGTCGGAAATGCTCAGCGCACGATATCGGCTGAGACCATGCAGGCATGCGCCTGAAAGACTAGATAGAGTTGACTTTATTCCAGACTTCTGGTGAGCTCAAGAAATCACGATTTTCTCCTGGGCTTTAAAGTCAACAAGTAAGAAATCGAAAATGTGGGTTCTGTGCATAACGATGCTTCGCTGGATCGGTAAAAGAGGGGGAGAAAGTAACTGAAGGGCCCTTGGGTATTCTTGACTCTCGCCGAGTGCTCCTGCCCGGCCCAGTGCGTCAAGCAGTGGCGTAAATTTGTGCCGGAAATTGAGGAGGGGATGGGGAATGGCGGGGGGGGCTTGCCTTGCCATGAAAATTTGAAAAGCGGGGGCGGGAGGTGACACCATATGACTCTATAAAGAGGTCGATGTTCATGATATTAATAAACATCTGTAGTATGTATTAACCCTAACCCTCAAGGGTGTATGTAAAATCGTATTGACATTGGAGGATTTGGGACTGTTACAGGGTTAAGAATGGCATATTTATGGATTCTTCCCCCATTTTAAGTGATACTGAATGCATTTTAGTCGTTTTAAGTCTGAAAAACTCTTCACATTCCACTTTAACTTCTTTCTCGCCAGAAAAACTGTGTGTGTGTATGGGGGGGGGATTCTATAGCCCATCCCCCCAAAAAGTGTGTGGGGGTTATATCATTCCCCCACCCCCCGGATTTTCGCCTATGGCGTCCAGTCAGCCAAAGGCTCGTTTCACACGGAAGACACAAACCTTAACAAGATTATCAAGATGGAATTCATGCTGGATATATTCGTGTGACAATATGTTTTTGCTCTGCCTCCATCTCTGTCTACCACCTCTTTAACAAGCTATCTTCATTAAGATGAGTTAAAATTCAACACCTCTGCATTGATGCTGTCATGACAGGTTCTTGTTTACATACACGGCTTTACTCTTATTCTGTTGGAAATTGGTGGCGCATTCCGTGTCGCTCGCACTCACTAATCAGAGTTCGTGCCACCACTGTTGTCATAGGGCTGCTTGTTAGCCGGCCTTGGCTCGGCACTCTGCTTCCTCAAACTATAGCACCCGTACATCCAGCCGCTTCATTCGAACACGTCCAGTGAATGCATGGCGCCTCCTACGATAACTCTACGTAGGCAATCCAATAAACAATTTTGTCCGTTAGGATTCGAACCCCCATTCGCACTAACATCAAATAAATCTTGTAATCAAGTTGCGTATCCACGTGTCATGGACTTCGGGGGGGGGTGCATGTCCCAGTTTCGTCCTATCTCGGGCTTTGCATCTGACCCCGAAACGTCGTGTAATATAGGCTTATTGGTACTACTAAGTAAGGAAAAGGGGATTTTATTATTTTGTCTGCGGTTGAAGGAGGCAATAGTCTTTCCTATTGCTTTCAAAGTCATTCTATTCATTTTTTATGGTAAAGATTACAAAAGATTGGGTTATAAACAAGTCATTACGAATTAGTCATTATAATACACGCGTCTTTTTTGGAACTACATATTGAGAAAACTGTGCTTTTAAAAACTTTCTACATCCGTCTGAATTATTTTGTCTGGGAAATTTTTCTCTCTCTTTTCTTTTTCCTTCCAAAATTAGGGTTTTAGCAACGTTTGGAAATGAATAAAATCGATTTTAATCGACTTCTACAGCGGAGGGTATATGGTATCGCGTGGAATAAAGCTCTTTTTGCATGATCCACCACAATGAACGTGCTTTCCAATAATGTATATTCTTACGGTGTGATGTGAAATAAACCTCTTGAATGTTGGTACATTTCTGTAATTTCAGTAGTACTTCTTTCAAAATTGAGCCTTCATCACCAGCTCTGGCGTATTAATTGCGTTCAAATTACCGACAGATTGCACCCGTATCGATAAAGTGTTCACACAAAGGAGCTAAAAGCTTATAAGCACCTGAAAAAAAAACCAAGGCCATAGAAGTTTGACGCATGTACGCTGAAACTTATTCGATTAGGAAAGTCCTACATTTTTTTGCAAATTCGAAAACTAAATTGACACTATATTTCTTGACGAAGTCCGTTTTCCCATCATGTTACTCTTTCAACAGTAGGCCTACTCTTTCGAGGATACAACAAATAAAGTTTTTTCCTCTTTCATAATTTTGTAGAATTGTAGGAGAGTAATTGAGAATGGAGTTTAATTATTTTAATGGAGAAAAATTCAAGACATCCAACATTTATTTCTCCTTTGAGACAAATGCCGTTACTATTTTCTGGAATTAAAGGCAGAACATTTGTGCAATATCGTGAAATCACAAATCACCAAGCCAGTGGAAACGTCTCATTTAAAGTGCCGAGTGCTACATTATTGTTGAGAATACATGCAGAAAGACAGTTACACGTGCACCGTCAGGTCTCAGAGACTGTGCTGAGTGTTGGTTTTGCTATTGAGGCTAGTAGCTGTTTGGTAGATGGTTTTCTTAAGATGAAATGTCGGTTGACCTGTACCGGCGGCAGCTTCAATTTGGCTGGGGGCTTGGGCGAACATTTCGTGGCATTGGTGGGGGGATTGAGCTCCGTTGGACACACCTCGTAATTCGGGCTGGGATGTATCGGAATGAGACATGTACCTCGGCCATCATCGATTTCAAGACTGTCAAGTTCTTTTTGTAGGTCTGGGCCCAGTTCAGAACGGAGCTTGACCATGTCGAAGGGCGGTGGCAACGAGTTGCTGTGGTCAGGGAGCGCTTGTTCATCAACAGGTGTGTCGGTGGTTGGTTCTGTTTCGTTTATTGGACACTCGTTTTCGAAATGTTCCTCTGTCATGGAGTTGAGCCTGGCCATACTTATCCTCCTGCCAATCTCATGGTACGTGTCAGATGGATTGGATCCCATGTTCTTACCGTTGTCCATGGCCGCCACGCTTTGCCTCCGGGCCGGTCTGAGCAGCTTGGTGGCCTGCTCCAGTCGGCCGTTGTAGGACTCCATTTCCTCCTTCTGGGAACGTGTCTCGTTGCGGACCGAGTACAGGTACCGGCCTCGAGCCGCAAATTTGGCCAAGCCTTTCATGTCCGTGTGGGCCTCGCTGGACACCTCGGTCACGGAGTGGTGGCGCAGGGCACGCCGGGAAGCCTCCATCTCGTACAGCTCCTGGCGCAGTTGGTGCTGGTAGCGGGAGATGTTGGCTGCGGCCCGCCGCTGCAGCAGGTCCATCTGCTTCTCGGTGTTGAGCAGCCGGTTCTTTTCGGCCGCGTTGATGATGCCGTTGCGGTGCCGGGTGTGGGCACTGTGAAGTCGTATGTTCTCCAACCTTTTCTTGGCCACCAGGTCCCCGACGTCCCGTCTCTCCTTCCTCTTCTCCTTGGCGGTGGTTCGCCCTCGGATGTCCATTGGAAGTGCTGGCTGATGTGGCTGGCTGTTACCTGCAAAGGGTAGCGCTAGAAGCGTAGACATGCTTTTGCTTCGAGAATGAATTGGTCAACTTCCAAAAATCGTATGCTTAAATCCAGTCATGGTTAAGTCATCATAGTGTGGAATTGCTAGATCAAAATCAGTACCCGTATAGTGACTGAAAGTTCAATTATTTTCGTTCACCGACGAAGTTAAACTTGATGCTTCAACTGGTTTTTTTTTGTCATGTTGAAGGTTCGATTTTCTGTCTCCAAGCAGTTTCTTCGCTGAATGAACAAAATCCTATTCGGGCATAACATATTTATCTTGGGAATATCGCAGCAGTTTCCCTCACGAACTGAATATAACTGTCTCTACAAGCTCCAACTTATTCCATGCACCCTTTCATGTCCAGAATCATTAGAGCACTAAGCAACCGGGCCAAGCACCCTGCCGTTTTGTTGACAAGCTATAGATACCAACACAGAGCGGATTATCCCGTAATCTGCAATGGATTTCTATATAATCTCACAGCCAGAGTCTGACGTGTTCACCGCCACTCATTGCCGAGGAAGAAGCCCCGTGTTGGCCCGCTGCTGCGTGTCAACGATCGATCGCGGCGGGATGGTCGGTATAATCCCTTTTTTCGTCGATATTTTTGGCACGAGCTCCTGTTGATGAAGGGAGATGGCCATTAACCAGAAAGATTAACAAAAGCTATCTAAGAGTAATTAATTGGCCATTTTAAGTTCACCCTCTATGAAACTGAGGGTTCGAGGAAGTTGTTTGTGCTGATGGTCAACAAATTCTTACTGGCTCACAAACATTCAAACAATGAATTGAAATGATGAACGTTGTTAAAGGCTCTTGTTTCATTTACATACCATCGCTGGATGTTTCTTCTGAACACCAGATGTTTTCCACAAATGATGCAGTAAAGTTGTGATGCTGATGGTAGCATGCCAACAACGTAAGACAATAGAGACACACTATAAAAGAAAATGTTAGCATTTAACATCATGGACGGGATTCTGAACCAAAATGAGCATTCTAGCTAGAGCAACTATTACTTTATATTTCTGAAAGTGTACCCTCAGCCTTTGTCAAAATATGAGACACTGCAATCGAACTCCATTACCCCTTAAGTGTTTCTTGTTGGCTCTTCCAGATACAGCGTATTAATCCCAAACTGTTGTAGAGAATACTAGCTCGAAGAATTGTCAGTGAGTCGTGAAGGTCCACCTAAGAGCTTTAAGATGCAGACAGGAGTTTCCAAAAGCTTCTTATAGCCGCACTAAGGACTATCAAAGGAGCTGGCGTCAGTGATCGAGAGAGTTAACTACACCGTCGATGACATTGGAATTAAAATAAACATTAATATTAATCTTGAATGTGATAAGCGATTACTCTTGGAAAACTGCGAAATTCTTGAGGGGTGCAGAAGATGAGACATTTTGTAACTTGAGGAAGCCGAAATTCCAAAACAAATGGTCAGCGGTTAAGGGGGGTGAATAAACGTGGACAAAAGGGAGAATTGACAGCACTCCAAGATCTGATAATCGCATTAGGACTCTTGATTTATTGTAAGGCTTGAATCCTTTGAACTGATGGATTTCGCTTTTCAGCAAGCATCCTTATACAAATTCAAATGAAAGGTCTGCAAACTGCAAACATCGCCATGCCCAACTACGCAGCACTCTGAACTGTGGTTTACGACCGTTCGCGATGCCGGAACCCGAGCGGCAATAAGGGATACCAATTCCTGACGGATTGTGTTCAATGCACCCTTCCAGATTTCTGTTGACACTGACTTTCATTAAATTTGCAGCAAGGAATTAGGCCACGGAAAATTAGAGAAGTTTGCCAACGTGCCGGCAAGATGTGCATAATTAACAGGCAGCCGGTGGTTTTAAGTGGACGATGAATGGGAGGGGTGATTAAGGCTGAGACTAGTAGCTACTTTGGTATCGATTAACACCAGGCTTGATCGATGCTCAACCTTGGGGGAGGAAGTTGAGTGTGTGTATTCGTAAACCCAAGGAGTACTGAAGTTAGAATTATCCGCGTGCAAGGAACATCCAGAGCAATTTTTCGACTGGGGGACAGGAATAGGTGTATTAGTGTGACCAACATGGAGGACAGGTGTAATTGATGGAAGGAAAGTGCCAACCTCTTCTTAATAATGACCCGTGTCTGGCCGAACATATTTGGCCGAACAAAATGTTGTCGAAAAATTTCACGGTCGTGGACCTCAAGTGGCCATTGATTGGGACCAGCGATGCAACCATACTATAGACTATATAAATAGGCATAATTGTACTGTACCGTGTTTGATAAGTAGCTCTCTGGGTTAGCCATAGCCTGAGCCTGCTTCATTCATATTTCTTCAGTCAAAATGACAGCTGCGCGCCACGATCGGGGGCATTCGTCATGCAAGGTAAACTGAAAATGGTGCGCCTGTGCCTAGGGCACGAGATATCCTGAAAAATCGTAAAGGTTCGGAAAAAAGTTCAGACGTGGCTGAAATGGTAAACCGTTGCTGGCTTTCACTAATTTCAGGTAGTAAAACGTTCAGATGGTAAGAGATGAAGTTCTGATAACATATATTGCCGACGCTGAAGCGCAAGACACTTCAGAGTCATTATCTTAAATAGATACTCGAATAACTTGCTCGTATCTCAATGTATTTTTAACGTAAAAGACTACAACGGAAAAATTAACTCAATTTCTGAAATCCAATTAATGTGATCATAGTTTAAAGTTCCTTTCATACACGGCAAGCATGGCTAAATAGCTCCGTTGGAAAATCGAAATACTGGGGTTTGTCAACTTAACTCTGACTTTTTGTAATCAGGGACTGGCAAAGTTCTTCTGATATTGGTTGGGCTTGCTGAGTCCTGTTATAATAAAATAGGTTGGTCTCCACTCACCACCGTCCGAGGTCCCATCACAAGCTTATTTGCATGACACTCAAACCCACGACTTGCCGCTTACTAATACAGTGGTCTGAACCACTCGACCACCGAGTCTGCACAGAGAACTGCTGTGATCGGGGCGGGGGAGCTTGGGAGGGGGCAGGAGCATCGATCATCGAACAGCCGTGGTTACGCTGACTTCCTTGGCTGATTAACAAGGAGAGCATGTCCACGCTTCCCCGTCGACCCACCTTCAAGCTCAACCACGGTCGAGTGTCGCTCACACTTCACTCGTTCTCAGTGAAGGGCCAAAACAATTAACTTTTCAATGGAGTTTCTCCAATGATCGTTTGTGTCGCATTTACCTGATTTTTTTTTTCCAATTTTGTAGGCGGTGCCATTTTGAAGGGATTCATGTCCGTATTTATGTGCAAAAGTGTGATGCCGTCTAAACCAGAAAAGCCAGTGTTTCTGGATTAAATACTGCCAGAACTTTTTGATATATCGTGTTGCAAATTTGCTTTACTCTGAAAATTCGTTATTGTTTTAGTTTATAACAGTAAGCCAGAGAGCAACATTTTGTCACAAATATCGTAAACGAGCGATGGACAAAATAATGAACAGTGTCTGTCTGTAATGGCATCACAACAACAGCCTTTTATTTTTCAGAGAGATTGTATTTACAAGCCCTTTAAGGCTTGCGTCGTGTTTGTCGTCTCGGCTGAATCCACACTCGTAGTTTTTAAAGAAAGTTTCCACGAAGGGGCCAAGCTTTCAAGGGATAGTCGCCCTAAGTATTCATGCTCCTCGAGGAAACTTGTGTAAACACTTTCGAGTGTGCTTGACAAGGAAGCACTTTAGTTAGACAAACAACTTGCCTAGCACTAATGACATTTGAAGTAAATACTAAATTTGTTGCAATCAAGGGATGTATGCAGATGCTTTCCGCTACAAAGCAGTCTCGAACAAACGAAATCGTGGTGACATTTATTTGCTAATGGCTGCAGGCCTTAAGCCGGTAGTCGTCATGAGCTGTTCTTAGATCCCCATCTGTCTCTGTAGCATTTCTGGGGCACATAACTGGCCTCGATGACGCTCGACACACTGGGTTTCGGGCGGTGGCAAGGCTAGGGGTGGCTCAGTGGAATCGCTTTCACTAAGTAAACGACAAATCACCTCAATTAATGAGTACACACTCTCGTCGTATTTATGATGTGTGCAAGATAGTAAGGATGACAACAGGATGTAGAGACAATTTTGTAAACATCAATACATAACAACCCAAGGAGTTCGCGGAAGGCTTAATTGTCACTGGAGAGAACAGTTGAGTCGACAGTACATTTGATGAACTGTGAAAGCTTTAATGGTGAGGATTCTATGTGAGCACATTCGGATGATGATGTGTCGGGCCAGAAATCAAGATTCTCGTTTCCTAAGGTGGAAATTACTGAGAAAATGATACTTGACAGTTACAAGGAAAAGCAAGTATATTTTATTGCTAAAAATGGAATAATACTGAACATCATGTGGTTCATCTCAACCATGCCGTACCGCCGCAGAACTTGTTCAATAACACAATAATTGAGGGTGGAAATTTTCCACAGTCTGCCGTCTAGTATAGAAGTACTCTAGCATTGTAAAGCAGTGTTTTTCCAGGGCCAGCACTCGACAAAACAACCAGTAGCAATATCGTAAGGCCATACTCGTCGTGTAATTAATGACTAAGCAGCGGCTTTAACTTTACCTGTTTGGATGGCCAGAACACCTGTATGCTAAACGAGCCCCATTTCTTAGATTCAGCTGTTGGGTCAAGCAGTCAAGTAACCACATTAACTGGGATAAAACATCTCATTCAGAATTTGAAGACGAACCCTTTTTGTACCGGACAAGAAATTTATAAAGACCCTTGAGTAACTTGAGTAACAATGTAGGCCTATCGAAAGGATAAACACCCTTAAAATGCTTCAAGAAAACGACATCTACGGTCCAGACTACGCCGTAACGGATCTCCGGACAGGCCAGCTAAACAGCAACGAGCGGGCTCGATTGCAGATTGTGCTCCGGAATATCGAGAGGGCTTACCGGTTGACCGAGCAGCGCGTGGACCGCTACAAGCAGCAGCTTCGTAGAGACTTGATCGACCTAGAGGCCCATAAGGCCGCCATGCGTTCCCACGCTTTGGGCTACTGCCGATTAGGGCAGCTTGATCATGACGGCCAACGAGAGATGTTGAAGGTAGGTCGTAATAAAACGTGAAATTATGTTTTCATTTTTGACTGGTACCCAAAATACCTGTAAAAAAATTTAAAACCCACAACCTTAGCACAAGACAAAACGAAATCATAACAGAGCGAAACTGCCCAGACCTAGATGTTTAACAATTCGATTCTACTAATAACCAAGAATGAGTCATCCTATCCCGCATACGATCACCACTAAGGGATTACGGGAAGGGGAGGTGTTTGCTGCCACCCATCTTTGAGCCCCCTCTCCCTCGCGTCAACATGACACAGCGATGACGCCGTCTCACAGTATAAAGTTACTTTTACAATACAATGTCCCGTAAAGACCTCTAAAAGTTTCTTGTTGGTACTACGTTGTCTTTTGTTCTGTGAGATGCGCTCAGTCTGTCTTCGGATCTGACTCCCAAAAAGCCAGTATTTTGCCCTCTTCGGGAAACGCCTGATACTGCAATGCCAAACTTATGGGCGGATCTTGCCAAAATCCGGTTCTATCCCTTACCCATTCTTCCGTGACTTTTGGCTCCATGCGTATACGTTTCAAAATGTTTGCCAAAGTTTGAAAGTACAGAAGTGGAGAACGGTACCCTCATGTTTAAGCACATTTCCTTTTTGCCCTTAAAATGTGTAGGGGTTGATGTTGGAGCGATTTAATCAAAGTCTGGATGAAATTCAAAGCAAGACAACAGCCTTAAGCCTTGTAGGCATCCATTCCACATGATTTTTTTTTCTCAAAATCTATTCTTTCTAAAGGCAAAAGATTAAAAACTCTCCGAAAGAGGAAGTCCGCATAAAACTATTCCAAAAGAGTGGAAACCACTCTGACGAGATTGAAAACAAACCACTTTAAAAGAGTGAACATTTAAATTACCCCATAGAGGAGCCATAAAGGAATGCTCCTTATCGAGTTGTCCTTGAAGAGTGGATATTGAGTCTTTTAGAGAGTGCTTTTCTTTTTTTCTAATGGTTTTATAAGGGACTCTCTTTTTTGAGCTTAAGATTTTCACTCTTTTGCATTTAGAGAGTAATATTAGCCCATTTATTTTGATCTCAAAGTAATGCAAGTCATCGTGGTTGTCGAAATTGAGGTTTAAAAATGCATCGTCCTATTTTCTTTGTTCATTCAGGTGTTCTCACAGCGCGGTCGATACAACTATTCCCTGAAGAGCGAGGTGAATTTCCACCGGGAATGCATGAGCTCCTACAACGCGCGGCTGGAGCATGCCAAGAAGTTACTGGCGGCTTCCCGGAAGCAGTGTTTGCGGGCCATAGCCAAGGGAGACCGGGTCTTGTCTTTTGGCCGAGACGGGGAAGCAGACTGGGACACGAACGGACAAGCCCCAGACGGTTTTCGTCGCTCAGAGACACCGCCGGGTCTTATAGTCCCGCGAATGTGATGGAAATGCACAGAACTACTTCCATATAGGTGCTAAGAAGTGATAAAAACAAGCTGTAAAACAGGTGATAATGTTTTAACGCATTTTTAAACGCCTTCCTGATAACATTTCATGAATGTGTTATGGTGTTAATAATCCAAAGTTAAATATGTTGTGGTGTTTATTCTTTAACGTGTAAATGTGTAAATACATTAAGACACAATCACACATTTTGGTGTTAATAAAAAAACAAAAACTTGTTTATCAGTATGGTAGCACTTCCTGAACCCCCAAACATGTTTATTTCCCAAAAGACGTTTAATTTTTAAATGGTTATAGGTTTGCAATGAACGCAAAGATAAGCGTTGGTTTTACAGTGTGCTGAATTGCACTAGGGCGCATCAGTGGTTGGGGGTAACGAAGGCTTCCTCTCCCAAAAAAGAGCAAAAAAGGCATTTTTGATCTCTTTCATTTTCATTCCTTCCGAAAGAGTTTAAAAGCCTCAAGATGTAGCCCCAGTCATCAGAAGGCCACAGAATGTCACATAAAAAGGGCACCCCATACGGTTCTGGGTTTGGTTCATGTAATAGCAAAGATGGCATTCCTTCCTTTCTTGTCGTAACAAGACTTGCTGCAAGGGGGGGGGGCACTCCGGACTATTATGTTTTAGAGCTTTTCATAGAGCTGCTACGGAGTATCGCAGCTGTTAGGACCAAAATTGTTAAAAGAATCCTTTGAAACTGTTCATCTGTTCTGATCCAATGGAGAGATTGCACAAATCTGTCACACGAGGGCGCCAAATAGAATTTCAACGAACACTGTCCTGAGATAAGCCTTGTCTTATTCCGGTAAGTTGTGTAGAAACTATTGGCATCCTTTATCGGCACAAAAGCCATTCAACCACGAGTGTTTTTTTTGTGTTATTAATATGTTCTTGAAAACTCAGAATATTGTAAAATTTCAAAACATTACTGTGTAATAAAAAGTACTCTCGCTTTTTTCCACTGAGGGCAGTATTCATCCTTGACCACCTTTGCATCCTCCTGCTTACGAATCTAAAGCTTTTCACAAAACGAAGTGTTATCGAAAATTTACTCCTGTTGATTTATTGTCGAAATAACGTTGAAGTTGATTGATGTACGGATGGAGTTAGATACAGTCATCTGGAGTTGAATATTTGTTGATTCTGAACTGCAGTATTAACAATTTTAATTTAATGTTTAACCAATGTTAGGTTTCGAATGTTGTCATTCTTTATTTTGTCACAATTGAATGTTGACATAGGCCTAAAATAAAGGTTACAATTTGGAAACCCATGTTTTAGTCAACGTTAAGTTGGTGCAGGCCGAGTCTCCGAAAAGGAGGAAACTTTATCAACTTTATCAAATCGCTTCTTGATCCCATCTCGTGTGCGTTCTCAGGACTTTTTCGTTGAACTGAGCCTTTATCAAGGCGTTAGGCGATGATTTTGAGAACCCCGGCCGTCAGGCTTTCTCTACGTGCGTGGCGGAAACGCAGCACGTTTGTTACTCAATACCCTTCGCTGTAGCAGGTTTGCTTTGAACAAGTACGGTACATTACAGTGCGTCGGGTCGTTATGCTTTGCAAGTGACATCCGATTCATAGTGGAGCCGTTGCCCAGCTCTCAGCTTGCTCACGTGCGCGTCTTGTCCCAGTCCGTAACCCTGCCAATGCCTTGATGATTCTTTACCGTGGCAGTACAACTTATTACGCTAACGAAGGGTGCGCCCCTAGTGAAAAATGGATGATATCGATCACAGTGTGTGACGTAAACAGTTGGAAGTGTTTCAAAATGTCACACCCCCAAAGGAACACTGCAATTGTTGCTTCTTGTTGTGAGTGGAAGTCGTCGATACCCAGTTTTGTCCGAAGCAGTGTTGAGGACAATAAATTTTTCAGGTATTGTTGTCATAAGTTGACAACATTAGTCGGTTCATACACGACAGATTCTAGAAAATGTTGTTTCTCGAGCGTACGTTCAGCACATGTACATGTATGTTAGTATGTACTCATACCGTACCATGTGTACACATATATGTGCACGTATCTGCGGTGGTTCGGTGTGTATCCGCTTCGTACGTGTGAGGTCAATTCAGTTTAAACCACGCCCACTGCTAATGCACTGCCCCCAGAGTTACATGCATTGATCGCCGTTTAAGTAGAACCATGAAACTGGAAATTAACGTGCAACTTCAGCGATCGTCCAATGGGAGCCTGAAAATCGTGGCTCGTCCGCATAAGTCACTGACAAACCGCATTACTGCAGCGGCATAGCCTTCATAAGTCTGTGTACAGAGCTAGGGATCCGTTGTGGTTCGGCGTTGTACCGTACTAGGGTGGCAGCTCGTTTACTGTAGTTTGAGTGTTTACTGCCTGGATCTCTGCCGGGGTTTAACGGCCGCGTAAACCGTCGTGGACAAGGCTAGGTTTGTGCGCCCATGTGAGTGCTGATGCCAAGTGAGTGTCAGTGCAAGTCTATTATACGCGAACGCGTCGCTAGGCTGTGGCTACCTAGACTTGAATCAAGTCAGACTTGCGTTGCTCTTCCCCACTCAGCCATCCCTTCAGCCTGTACGCACTACACAGTCTTTGAGCTTTGCCCAGCAGCTCGCGTGACCCTAATAAGGTGCCCTCATTTGGTAGCCTTTATTGTCCAACGTGTGTCATTCGTCACCAGTCAGTAAGTCCGACGGATAAGCCAATCGAACCCCCCCTCAGTGATACATGTAGTTATTCATAATTCCATATGACTAACACGATCTTGCGTAAGATAGATAGACAGACAGACCCACCCACCCATCCATCCATCCATCCATCCATCCATCCATCCATCCATCCATCCATCCATCCATGCATGCATGTGGGTGGGTGGGTGGGTGGATTATTTACACTGGTAGGCCCAGCTGTACTGTTCTAATGACCTTGGATGAGTGATTCACAGTGTTTCAAGCATGTATGGTGGGAATTTCCCGTGTATTTTTAATATTGCCGATGTATTTCAGTATTGTTGAATTCAGCGCCCTCAACTGCAGACCACGCCCCCAAAAAGGACACTTCCTTCACAAAAACATACTGAGAAGTCTGCCTAGGAAGGCCTCCGTCTGATTTATTTTGAAAGAAACAGAAAAAGACATTGAATAGGGATCGTTTATCTACACCCAAATCTCAGACAATTTGGTCACACCGTGCTGAATTGTGTCAGAAATTGACGTAGGTGCCTCCTCAGAGAAGCACAAAATTTGCTTAAGCACAAAAAACCTTGCTTAAAAAATCAAACTTTATCAGCTCAAGATCTATGTGATTGTCATGCCCACCAAACGAGAGGTGAATACCACTCCAAACCAATATACAACACATGGAGTTTTGGTTGGTAACCTGTTTTGTCAAGCAAGGTTTTTCTACGCTTAATTAGCAAATTTTGTGCTTAAGCAGCTGTATGAAATTGGCCCAAGCTGCGATTTACTGCTGGTTATCTACGGCGCTTTGGGCATGGAAGTACTGTGCAAAATGGCAGAGACCATGAATACTGTGAGGTATGCAAGCAACGGCAACGACTGGGTTCTCGTAGAGTTGCCGGATGGTTCGAGTGGGTCTGTACGCATGCGAACAGGTGAGAACATCTGCCCAAAGTTGGAACTGTAGTTCGCAAATAGCAGTACATAGAGTTTTAAAAAGGATCCAGGAAATGACATTTTTGTTAGAGTCACTTTTTGTGTATCTCTGTACTCTTCTTCCATGTATGAAGACTGTTTGACATTTTTTTGAGTTACGTGAACTGAACAGTGCACTTTTTCAAACAGTCAAAATTGATCAAGAATTTCTGGACAAGTGAGGAAGACATGGTTCAGGTTGCATGTTTTCATGTTCAAATTGTGAACCCCAAATTTGCTATCTGGAAACATTTCTGTGAAAAGAATTCTTGCTGGATTATTGCCATATACTTACTATTTTCTACAGCTATAAATTGCTGAAGAAAATGAAATCTGCCATAGCAGTGGTTTAAAAAAATCTAGAAATTTTCTGTGCACAAATCAGTGCAACATTGACATTCAGTGCCTTGGATGACATCATAGTTCTGCTCATGAATATGAAAACTTTCATTAGCATAAAACCAAAAAAGCATAAAAAATGGGTTAGAATTGCAAAACAAAACTTTAAACTGAGGTTGATACCCAAAGATGCAATTTCAAGGGCTTTTAGTAAAATTTATAAAAATTTTCTATTTCCTGATTCCTTTAAACATATTTCTAAACACACTTTGGTTCCCACTTTTTTGACATGGTTAACCGCGACATGTTTAGTGTTTTGCGTTTAGGAATGTGTCGAATGCTAAGCGGATTTCAAAAAGCTAAATATGTACCACGGAAAAGCGTTTAACGTTTAAAAGCATTGGCAAACACATTTCATGAGGTTGAACGTGTGGAAAAAGTGCGTACAAGAAAGTGTTTAAGCTCTAAAATTTGTTTTTTTTTTACAGTGTGCTTGAACCATGCCTTTTCAAATTTTCTTTGTATGGTGATTTCAGGTTCTAGTACATGGCTGTATGACTTTTTGGTTAGTTTTCCTATATAGTATTTATTATGAGCTAATTTCGGGTTTGTTGTCGAACAAACCCTTTTAACTCCAAAAAAGGAAGTGTCTTTCTGAAGAAAAAAAAACCATCAAAAGCGTTCTCCATCGTTTAAATATAGAAAATAGAGAATATTGAAATGCGTTAAAGAGTGTATTTTTAATTTCAATAAGATTTACCAAAAAGGAAGTGAAAGAGAGAAAAATGCATTGTTGAGAAGCCCTGGGGGTTGCCCATGAAGTACACGCGCACAATATACTGATATTGAAAGCCGCCTTCCCCCAGTCTTTGGCCAAGACGGCAGAACTCGATAGCGGACTCGATCGAGCATATACCGCGCACGCCGATTTCTATTGCGCCCTCTCGTGACTTCATTGAATTAGCGGGCGACGGCTAAATAGTCACTGTATTTTTGCTAAGTATACTTACACCTGAAATTCTTCTCTATTTTTAGCGCTTATGAATACACTTTGGTTGTTTGGAAATTCGAAAAAATTCTCCAACTTTGCCTTAGATTTTTCTCGCCTCAAGAATGTGTGTGTGGGGGGAGGGGTTTACTCCGTAGCTGATCTCCGCGGTGAAAAAGTGGAGGAGTAAACACATACTCCCCCCCCATCCCCCAGGATTGAAGCCCCAAGTTAAGAAGTTGTGGTTGCCAGATAATCTTATAAGGTAATGGGTCCTTAGAAGGCAGTGCTTTTTGGCCAGTGCTTTAATCCGTTTTCAGACAATTATAGGCAAAGATCGACCAATTTTAGAGATTCAATCAAGTTCTGTAGAGAGTCTGGATATATAGAGGGCCTGTTACGTGATGTAATCTGGTAATTAAGCCAGGTTGAAAGTTTCGCTTGAATATCAGTGTTTTGCACAGCGACTTCAGTCCTCGCAATGAAATCTACTTCAAGCCCTGCGTCGTTCATTGACCTATCAGCCGATTCATTCCTCGATGTTCCCTGTGGACAAACGGGCCGGTTTTAGCGTTTTGGGTCTAGTCAGATCTCACGTAATTAGTTCTGTGTTTCTGGACACCGTCGCGTCATGACCGTACTCATGCAACGACGAATTAATTCAACTAATCGACTCTCAGTTTTTAAGATTTTCGGGCTTGTGTTATTTCTGTTGAAAAGATTCCCTACATCATACAACTTCAGATGGAGTCGCTGAAAAATACAACTGTGTAATATATAAGTTGAAAACTGGTTGGCGAGTGCCGTGGCGTAGAACTATACTGTTCTTGCTTCACGTCGCCACTGCACATGTACATGTGTAGGCACACATAAGTTTCACAGAGAAAAACCAATGCCACTCTTTACCGTAACAGTCCACACTAATGCACAGAAAATCAAAAAGTGCCTTTTTTCTTGAGTTTTCTAATTAAACCCATCTGTTGTTTTCGATTTAATAATAGGCTGTGATTTGAACAGGCGAAGTTTCTCTGAACTGTGAACATTACAGAATAAACTGATGTCCAATTATAGTTATCCCCGAACTATGAAGATTACAGAATACATAATTTTTCATTAATTCTGTGGATCCCACTTTCCATAAAGGTTAATATAATATGACATATTAATCAATATATGTTAGTAGATGCGGCAAGGATCTTTTAAAGCCTCATCAATGGTGATTCAATTAATTCCAGGTAAAATGGTTGGGTATAGAAAACACAGCCCATTTTCATTTTCAGTCGACAATAACGCGACAAAACTCCAGTAACATCTGTCAGAAACCCTTTTCAAATTAAAGAAATTGCAGATATAACCATTCAAAGCCATATTCAGTAAATGTGATGGTGTAGCTATTAAAAGCGTGCTGCAAGCCTAATCTAAGCGTAAACCTCCAAATGTTGTGTAAGTTATGAAATTTAGCCCTGCTAACAATTATAATCTAACGGACAAGTTACCATTTTTGGCACCTTGTAACGAGCACGGTGATACATCTTTCAATGAATCACAGATTTTGTTCATGAGCCGTAAAATAATACATATGGCTTGGCAGTTAATTCAAACAAAGCCAAGTTTTCAAAGATCATGATCATTGGTAAAAGGTTATTCAAAATTTCTTTTCAGTTATGGAATGGTTTCTGCATACTGTGACCAGAAGGCAGTAAAAGCATTATTTCGACCGTTTTAGAACTTAGTTGCCTAAACATCTTAAAAACTGTATAAGGTTACAAATTTCAAACATTTTTGCTGTGTTAACACCGATGTGATTGTCCAGTAGTTACAAAGACTTCAGAATAATTCTGGAAGATTCATTTTTTTTTTATTTTGAAACTTCAGGGTTGCAAGTTCTTTCTGTCTTCATCCACGCGCCTCGCCCTGAACGTTGGCAGCTGTGAAGCTGCATCCCCCAAACTGGGTAGCGAGCCGGTTTCGAAACTGCAACTGTCCCGCAAAATGTCGATATTTTTTCAAGTCATTTGCACGGAAGAGGAAACATAGTTTCGTTGGTCGAATTTCCTTTGGTGGCTAAAAGAAGGCCTTTCATCGTCAAAACTATGGGTGATCGTTCTAAAGTTGAGTGCCATCAAGCTAAGACGTGCTAAAAAAGCCAAAATATTCCTCTCCGTTAAAGTTAAAGTGCCAATACACAAAACAAAACAAACATATACCCAAGTAGAGTTATAACAGCTTCTACATCACCATGATAAAACAGACAAGATAGTGCTAACAAGTCACTGGTCTCACGTTGAATATTTTTGTCATGTCTCCCGATTTTTATCGTTGTGATTTTGTGTACTGTCCCATCTACCCCTTTAGGATTTTAATAGCGCCGTTAGTTTTGATGCGAAGTGAGATAGAATTCAGTTGGTCAATGTGGTTGTGTTGTCTTCGCCCAAACATATCTTGCACAGCGTTGCGAAACTGGCGATACTTGAAGGCATAGATGACCGGATTGACACAGCAATTGGTGGCCACCAAAGCTACAGACAGCAGGTAGTACCATTTGTCGTGTACTACCCACCCGGCGTTGAACATGAAGAACAGGAACTGGTTTGGAGTCCAGCAGACCACGAACGTGATGAACACAATCAGGAGCATCTTGAAGGTATTCTGTCTAGCCTTCAATAGGGACTCCATCATACCTGGTGCTGAGTGAGAAGCGTCGTCGTTTGATGTTGTCGGAGCGGAGCTGGCGGCCATCGGTGCTGGGCCTACCCTCGCAGCTCCTCGCTTCAGCTCCACGCTGATGCGGATGTACGCGAAGAACATTACTACTACTGGCAATGCGTACTGCATGACAGCTGTCAGGATCCCCATGACCTGCGAACCGGGGATATCCCTGGCGACACACTTACCGTTCGGGAACTCAAAGATCACAGCTACGTAAGACTTGATGGCCACCGCAAGGAGCCAGCAGCCGGCGAAGATCAGGCCGAGTTTAAGCCAGGGACGCGTGGCGAAGGCGGCGTGGTACTTGAATGGGTGGACGATGGCGAAATACCGCTCCATGGTCAACGACAACAAGTTGAACGTTGATATCACGAACAGGAGAAACAGTACAAAGTTACTGTTCCAGATTGTGCAGATGAAGATACCCAGAGAGCTGTTGGGCAGGGGGTCAGGCAGTGGAACTTCACTCTGCAGAAGAGTTAGTGTAGAGCCAAGGAAGTCCACCACAGCTTGGTGGAAAATGAAGGCATTGGTGCGAGTCTGCATCGCCGAGACTTTACAGATGACGACACAGACCAGACCGTTGCCCAAGATTCCTGCGATTCCCACAATCGTCTTGTAGATTCGTAAAATCAGTATCTGCTCCATAGCTTCAATCACCAGCAGTCAATGTATTGTGTGAGTTGTCGAGCTCTCCCTTCCCCAACTGTGCGCCTCGATAGATGCAATAGACAGGACTGCTTAGGGCTCCCTTATAAACGTTTCTGCTCAGCATTTCATTGCCTGATGGACACCGAGATATTACAATCACACACCGACGCCATTATGCATGACGCCATGCGTCCATGGACGCCCAGTAATTAAGCCCTTTCCAAGTAAGCAATGCATCTTGCAGTTGGATGAAAAACAACAAATGCATATTTTCATATACACAACATATGATTCATTTTTTTAAATTTAACAACTATGTAATTTCTGCTACTATGACAAATTACCTGTCAAAAGGCCTGCCCAGTGTAATGGAGAAGTGAAGTCCAAAATGGAACGCTGATGTGATCAAAGTCGGACAGAAAAATGGATTATCAGTGCGAAATGGGTCATAAACGCAAAACCTATGTGATTAAAATCAGTGAGAAAGCATAAAATACTATGTTACAAAATTATTTTCAACCTGACTGTTGTCTAACAACTCTCTCCATAGCATAGTCTCATTGTTTAAAATGGCCTAAATGGGACCAAAATTCTAGTTTAAAACATGCAGGCGAAAAACAAATCAGTAATAAAAACTGAATTCGCACTGGCCATTTTCAATTTTTTTATGCCCGTTCACTGAGCTAATCCGCATAAAAGCACACTAAGTCTATTATTTGAACCAAGTAGCAGCAATTAGTTTGATTCTAAGTTTTAATTATAGAACAGAGGAGGGGTCTCACTTTGTAACATAGTGCTTCGACCTTCTGCTTCCGATTAGGCATAATTATAAGACTCAAAAACTTCAAAACTAGCTGTTTTAACCTAATTAAGCAAACTTTAAAGTTCACTAACTAACGAGAATTTGTCCATAATGGCCCTTAATTAAAGCCCTTTGGTTTGTCTTTCCAGAATCTTTCATTCATGAAAAATAAAAGCAAACTCGGATGCATTATTAACCAAAGTGAATTACTTACTGGGTGTTCAATTGTGGCCCTTCAACCCCCTAGGGATATCTTGCCGTTTTCAAATAACAACAGTACCTTAGCCAGACGGCAAGTTTAACTTTGCTGCTGGGACTATCCGCGGAGTACATGATCGAGCTTTCACGCATGGCCGACGCGGAGGCAAAGGCTTCCAGGCTTTTTCATTTTCTCCTTCACAAGTCGCTCGACCGTTTGGGGGATACATGGACGGGCCGAGAATCCCGAGAACTCGGTGAGAGTCCTATATGGAAGCGGGTATAACTACAATTCTTACGAATTTCAAGAGTCCGTACACTTGAATACTTGATCAACACCACATCTTTTCTCACTCTTTTCTCATAATCAGGACCCACTTTTGTTTTGTTAGCTGCAGAAAACCCCATGACGAAAGGGATTACTGAAAGTTTAGCCGATATACTGAAAGTGTTCTGAAAACAAATGAAAATCTCTCCCTTGAAGCCCAGATGATACAATTTGACAAAACAGTTCTGAAATTGAGAACCGAGCCACATTATAAGCAATGCAGAAATAGGCACCTTCCATTTTTAGCTGTGGTGTCGGTGGCTTATTGAATTTAGTTTTCAAAAATGATTGAGCGATTTCCATAATTAATATCATTTACACCTGTTCAACATACTAGTCCATCAGTAGATTTGTGGTGCGTTCATTATATACATTATCCGTCGAAAGTTATGCGTTATAGTGGTTAGAGGATTTTTTTAGTAACAGTTGACAGGTATTTTATTGTCGCTCAGTCAAAAATGTTATTACTTTCCACCCTCGGTCTTGTTTGATGATGAATCATCGGTTGATGATACAGTATCGGCCAATTTGTAATACCAGTATCCACTAATTTGGTGATACTTTATGCATTGCATTATTATTTGTAACAGCCTGTTTGAGATTACAATCTCCGTTATTACACGGCTCATGCGAGTGCAAAGCAAAGCATCCTTCTTGCATATTCTCAGGGAACCATGCGTTAAGTGAAAATAAAATATTTGACTTGCTGATGTTTACATGTCCGCTGTCGCTCTTGAAATACACTCATTCAAAATGACTTCTTGCAATAATAATACTAGTTCTCCAAAGAAGTGGCGTACGCACCCACGAGAAAAAACACGTGTCTTCCTGAAAAGCTATGGTCACATAAAAGGGCCTTTGAACCGTTTGTCAGAACAAGCATGGAAAGACATCAACGTAGAATAAATATTTCTTTTTCATAAGATCTAAAAACTAAAAAAAAAAAAAAACGGTCAACTAGTTTTCGTACATCTCTTGCACTTCTTTGAAACCTGCAGGATTTAAGTGATCGGGGCGTTGCTGCTGTGATGTTATTTTGGGGAGACAATCTTCATTTTAGGGATTTTTCTGTTCAAATTGTGAATGCAAACTTGCTCACTGAAAACATGTAGCGCAATTTTGGGAAAATTTATTTTCAAATTTTCCAGAGGGAAAGGAAGTGATTACTTTGTAAACAAAATAAATTAAATTAAGATACTGGGCCATTTTACATTTGACATTTTCTTCATCCAACCGAATTCATTAGTGGAGAATAATCACATTGCCTCTCGAGCCTCAGGTAACGTGCCCTACTTTATATTTTCCTGCAGGACAACACTCAATTGTCACTTTCTGGGAATGAAATTGAAACACCATGCTCTCAAGCCAAATCATCGATGGAACTGTGGAAGAAATTCACTCCCAAGGAAAAGGGTCTAATGGCATCCATGCGTTAAAAATTCCAGTACATGTCTCACGTTTTTGCACGGCCGCGGTAGCGGGTTCAGCATTTACAACAAATTTCGAAAGCATCATAAGTAGGCATTTAAACGAATGAAGGAAAAGGGGAATTTTGTTGCTTAAAACGGCTGTCTAGTTTTTCATTTGATAAAAGAATCCTATGAGAAATGTAGCGGAACCGTTTATAAAGTGCCTGTGGTTTAGTTCAAACTGAAGCAATGAAATTTAAGACTAATACGAAAACATTACAGTGGGCTTAATGTTCGTGAAAAAGTCTGTAAATAAGTGGATTAAATAACCAGTTGAGAACGATGGAAAAGGGGGAAGGATCTAAGGTGACATGAAAACATTTAAAAGCGTTACAATGTTTCTGTGGCATTCATCTTGAAGAAATCCAGCATGCAATCCAGGGAGAAGTGAGAAGCCAAGAAAGCCTTAATAACAATTGTCCTGTTTTACGAAAGCGATGGGTATAAACGACATAAAAACAAACCAATTCGTCATCGCACGTTTGTATTTAGAAATATTCTGTAACATTTATGAAAACAAACGGATGAATTAGCACGCCTGCCTTCGGGTGTTAGAGAGGCACAAAATGTGCGGCAAGCAGAGCGTGTTTAGGCCTAATGTGTGGGTGCATGTAATTCCTTCTAGACTGATCAACTGCGCCCTACCAATGGCGAGGGCCTTCCTTGGAAGTGTACAATCCAGTCTGCTAATCTGGATGTTAAATTAACAATCCAAAATGGAACATATTAAGAAGACTACAAAAGCGGGCCCTTAATTGGGCAGACTGCGTGTGCGAGCAGGGGGGGGGGCGAATTATCTGCCATCTCCGTGTTGCCGTCATAATTGTGTACCGGATAATTTAAAGCTTTTAGCTGTTGAAAGAAAAATAACCCCTCGACGAGCGAAGCAAAGGGAAACGCATGGTGTCAGTAGAGGGCGTCGTTTCAGACTGGTAGCAGCAGCAAATGCGTAACATACAATGCGTGCTAAACTGAATAGGGCTAGACCTCATTTGTTATGTTTCAGACTGCACGTGTTCCACTTCTGTGCGCAAGACGTTTCCAATTTCCATACTTACTATACCCATGCTATACCTGTATATATCTGTATATATATGTACTGTAGCCTAGGGCCTCAGCCACTAGTCAGGTTTTGTGCTACGCCTACACGTAGTCCCAGAAAAATGACAACGAATTGATGGACGCGAATGATGTAAGTCTGTAATTATTTATTTTAAGGTCATGTCATTGAGAATAGGAGTTGTAGATTTGCGTCCTAACAATTTCAAAAACACATGAGGTATAGGCTAGTTTTATTGTTATGACATGTATGAGGGCCTATTCATTTCAATCTCCAAATTTTTGGGCCTATCATGGAGCTATAATTAAAAAGCTTTTTTTATAGGGACCATGACCAGATTACGGAAACTTTTCAAGTAGGCCTAGCTAGGTTCGTGGGAGCGGAGCCTGCGAACGTCGGACCCCATTCTGGGCTGGGAGGGGGGGTAGGGTATATGTACATGTATACATGTAGCTGTATAGGCCTAGGCCTACTCCTTTGCCATATACTGGGCCCTGTACTGATTAATTTTGATAGTGGTTTCTTTCAAGTTCATCCGTCATGTCCGTGATGTTTGGGGATATTATCAGACATCTGCTGGATCTTATGAGCTGAAATTGCATCGGTGTGTTCACTACTTACGCTGCTGCTGTACATGTATGTAATTTTCCCCAGGTTGCTATTTGCAGAAAACTTGCCTTTTCCTCGTTTGAAGGAAAAAAAGTTGCCTTCAGTTGGTGTTTTCACCACTCCGGACGAATTTGGTCCGACTTAACATTTGACAAAAGAAATCACTATCAATAAGGACAGGGGCCCAGTATATGACAAAGGAGTATACGTCAGGCCCTGTTTATGGGTCTAGGCCCTCCTCCAAAACGAAAAAGACCTGCAGTAAAGCATACATGTACATACTATAGGCCTTAAACATATTAAGCACGTACGTGCGAACTGTCAGATGTACGTGGGTCGGCTGCAGCTCAAGCAGCAGACATCTGGACATGTATACGAAAGCCATCTAAACTGGGCTTAGACTAAGTATAGGATGCATAAATAATGGTAGTGCTGTGCCAATATTCAAATATTAGTTTTTGAATTTGAATATTTGAATGCAAAATTCATGAAAAGGAAGAGAAAACTTTCTTTTGTTTTAAATGAGAAAAATTGCACTATGGAGGCTTGTTTCAAGCAGATTGAAAAGGGTCAGAAATCTTACAACAATTTGAAAAGTAAATTATTTATTATTAAACAAATTAAAAGGAACAAACATTTTCAACAGGGCTCGGAGTGTTGTTCATCTCTTGAATCTTGCTAAATTGTTGCTGGAGATACTCCTAGATGTGAGAAGCTATTATAGTGATCATAATGTACTACTGATTTTGTTTATGGTTTGTTCATCAATAATCTGCTGGTTATTGCAGCCGAATATTCAGATATTCAATCAAATTGTAGGTTGAATATTCATAAAGTGAACTGTCTGAATTGACTCAACCCTAAAATACGGTGTTTTATACAGCTGTTAGATGATTCGGAACTCTGACTTTTGTGGTTTTGTTTTTCTTACAAATTTTCGTATAAATAATGATTTTGTGCGGGGCAGTGGCATCAGGATATACAAGCGTTGGATGCAAATCTGCAACTTCTCTTCTCATAGCCTAACATGAAGCCTTAGTGTGCGGCAATGAGGCTAGTATTGCTATCCTTAATTGAGTTTGCACAATGGATGGTAGAAATGCATTGTGGGAAGGAAAAAGGACCAATGTTTGCTCTTTTAGTCCATTCCACAGTGCCTTTCTCATGTTTCTAACGTGCAAAATCACCCATGCCGTATTAGCGATAAGGCTGATTATGATAATGCTAATGCATACGTACATATATTCTTATACACTTGACATGACTAATGTACATGTATTTTTCAGGGAATTGTCAGAAAAAGGGGAAACTGAGCTGTCATGGCTGTGGGCCTTTTGAGTGCTATTTTTGAAAGTGTGCATAATTTTATTTTACATGTTTTTCACAAATTTGATTTACATGTCAAGTCCATTGTTGGGTCCATTTTTGGCCGTGATTTGTGCTGCAATCCACTCTTGAGCAGGAACAAAAGAGGGCATGTTTTGAAATGAAATTGGCAGTCACTGCATGTAGGTACGGTACCACAGACATAAATGCATAGATCACCAGGTTCCATTCAAAACTACAGGAGTATTCCATGATCTGTGCAGCGTCTGACTAAATTAAAAACTAATTTACCCCTCGGTATATAGGAATTAACGCACAGTTTAAGAATTCCAGCCCAAAAATTACATGAAGCCGTGTTCCAATTGTAAAAAAAATCTTCTATTTAGTTTACTTAACCTGACCCATGTTGATTCAATACAACATTTGCATTTGCAAAATTTGAAAAGAAGAGATACATATGCAGCAGTTCCGAAGAGCAAAACAGATATATTTTGGGAGCACATACACATGTATAAACATGGTAAATTAATGCAGGCAATGCAAGTGTGCTACACGTAATGTGCACTGAACGCTGCCATCCATCATTTCATCCATAGTTTGCCCATACTTTTCAAAATCACGGTTTTACACACAAGACTGGCGGTCTATTTGTTTTTAAATATGTCTGTCTTTGGTACGCACTCACAGCATAAGAGTGCAAGTTTATGCGCGTTTGACTCTGAGTACGTGCAACACATATAAGGCACCTTTTTCCATATACATATGTATGTATGTTTTTTGGGGTACGTTGCGATGTGTTCACACGTTTCATTTTCACAGACACAAGTATCAATTCCATTAATCTTACACACCTGTACATTGCATCAGACCGTCAAAATTGCCGATTTTGAGGAGCGATTTTGACGGATATACACGATGCTTGGCGCATGTGTTGATGCACATGGGGAACGGCACCTTTAGTGTGAAATATGCAATCTAAGCGTGCACGCCAAATGCATGCAAGAACCCGGTTGAAAAACTTAGTACCATCCGTCTTTCTTTCGCCAGTGAGGGTGCACTTCAGCTCGCAGCAGATACAGTGTGGCATGTACCATAAGGCACAGCTACACGACGGCCGCGACATGTCGTATGAAATTTCGCCTGTTAGTTTGGAACTTGTTGATGAATATTGCCTTGCAAGAGCTATTAAAATACCCTGTTAACTTGCAAAGGTTGTGCCAAACAGGCCCATTTTACTGCCATCTCATTGCATGTACACCTTCAGTTTCAATTCATTTTCTGTATGCTGTGGTGCCCAGAGATCTACATGTACATGTAGGTATTAGCCTAGTAGGTCTATTTTTTTTCTTACGTGTACATTTTTGTTCTTGAATTTGCAGGTTTTGCCGAGCTGAACATGCTGATCAATAAACATGGATTGATGTTGCTTTTATATGGAGTCTGAGATTGTTTTAGTTATGGCCAGTAATGCCGAGACAGATGAGCTGCCAGCTAAATGTGCCAAGCGGTGAGTACAGGAATTTAAACCAGCTTCACCTACATGTACATGTAATTGAACATGTTGAAATCTGCTGTGTTTTGGACATCACTATTATCTAATATTTCTTCAATAACTGGATACACGTTTTTTTTTTAATCCTTAATTAAAGAATCCTCATTATCCACCCCTAATCTCTAAATACATGTAGGTCTGTCTCTGAAATACTTGAGCTTTCAATTCCTAAAACACGAATTAAAATGACGACATAATCCATCTCCGGAGGGGGGAGGGGCAGCTTGCCTCCTCCACCCCCCCTCCCCCAGTACGCCACTTGTATCCAGTTTAGATACACACCCAGGACACATTAATTGCATGAACATAGGTGTCCAGGCAAAATCAGTCATTGGTGAATAAATGGTTACTGATTGGTTTTGGCTTATGCCGTTTAGAATTGAGGGCCAAACTTAGCTGTGATTATCCAATTTTCTTTTCATGCAGGAAGCACGAAGAAGAAGACAGTTTTTACTTCAGGTAAATATTTGTTTTTGTTATTGTTCATTAAAGATTTCATGGTTTTTACATTTAGCAGACACATGGTCACTGACAGGTGTAATAGAAAGTACCTCCCTCAAGAGAGAAGAACTTGCCTTAAAGTACAATGTACAGTGTAATGTTTTCTTAATGGAATCAGCATATTTTTCCCAGTTGGAAAAAAAAGTTGAACATTCAACTTCATTTTTGGTAAGAGATTGTGCCTCTGTGACCACATGAGTGATTTATTAAGCAACCAACATGTTACATTTGTGCACATATTTTCAGATCCTATGCAGGTGTTTCTATTCATGAAGAGATGATTCGGGATGAAGTGAGGACAAACTCGTACAGGTAGAGTCAGAGTGGTACTTTGTGTCTGAAATGGGAGATAGATACATGTGCAGTGTCTCTGTATTAGGCTGTGGCACCTGGGATGTTGAGTGTACATGACTTTCAAAGATGTGTGCCAAAATCAGGTCTTTAACACTTCCGAAGACCTGAACATAAATTGTTGACCAAGTTTAGATGGCAGGTTGAGATGTCATCAGATTTATCTACTCATTATTGTTCTTTTTCTGTAATCTGAGAGGTTGTTGTTGGGGAAAAGTATTGAAACCAAAACTGTCCATTTAAATTACAATTTATAAAAAGCTTCGTTCTATTTCACCTGCAATACTTTAGCAACTCACATGAAATACAAAATAAAAGGCAGACAGCCCTGGGTTATACATTTACATGTACATACGTGTACAAGAGAAATTTGTGACAATGGAAGGGATCATGTCAAGGGGTTCTGGTAACCTGGTTGAGGAGAAATCTGCAAACTGTTGGACACAAACCATACCGCGGCTGCATCCAAGGTGAGTCAAAACCAAAATCAGATTTTATTGGATATTGTTGGATTACATGTAAGAAGATCAATTTAATCCAATATGACATTTTATAGTATCAGTCCGAATCTGATCTGAATCCAACTGAACCACATTCAGTTGAATCGTATCTGATCAGATTTGGATAGAGATTTAGATCAGAAGTTTGCACACTTGATGCTTTTACATGTATTTGCCATCTTGAATTGAAAAGTGAAAAGTTGATAAAACGTTTCATTTGGGGATTCTGAGCGTAAACATAACTAAGGTGAAAAAGTTACATACAAATTGATCCCATTTCTTGTTTATAATGATATAAAATTTTTGATAAATTATATAGATGTTTTAAGCCTCATTTAAAAAACTGAAAGTGAGGCTCAGAACCCAAAATAGTCTGGTGCCATCCCATTTCCCAGATTAGAATGAAAATGATAGATTTAGGGAAAAAGATAAAACATGGCTGCTCCATGAATAATGTCAATTGCTGCGTTACATTATAGACTATAATGCCTCTGCTCAGCACAGCCTTACTTTTTGCCCCTCCTAGGGTTGTAATGAAACACACTGTAATTAGAACCTTAAGTAAACTCCCTGCATTTATATCTTGGATATATATGTATATCTGTTAATTTACAGACTGGCTATCCTTCGCAGCTGTGAGCAGTTAGCGGGCAAAATTGTGGCTGACATTGGGGCAGGAACTGGTATGCAGTTAATCTGTTTACAGTAACTTTTGTTTAGGAATAACTTGAAACGTCTCCTTTTCTCAAAAATCATTTGGATTCCATCAGGAGAATGGTATATTGTCCATACTTGTATGAATACCTACATGTGTGCAACTCAAAATGCCAGCATCTGTGCCGGTACCTCCATTTAACTTACAGTTTTGTTTTGGCGAATCCAAAACACACCACCCCCAAAACAGTCAAACAGATCGTAAACTTTTTCATTAGTCATCACTCCCCAACGTTGGGGATGTACATTGAGCTACATGTAGTTACTGTTGTGATCAAACATATCAAGAACCAGCCTGTTTTTACTGCAGTGATTTTGGCCCACGAGCCAGCCTGATCATAACCCCCATGCACAGGCAGTCCAATCACTGGCTCACTGCACTATAACCAGGGTGACCACATGAGAAACGATGGCATCTGGCTTTAGAGTTGAATGTAGCTCCACATGGATGTGTTATGAGTGGCTTATTGCTATGTTGAATGACCAGAAAACTTCAGGAACGTTATAAAATCTGTTATCACAACAACAAAAAATGAACTAGTACACTGTTGAAGTCAGTGGGAAAGTGGGAACGCATTCTTGATGGGGGAATTTGTGACTTGCTCCAGGAAGCAGCGAGATATACCGGTGAGGTACACTGTGCTTATTTGATCTGTATAATGGCCTGCTCAAGTTGAAAGGGTGAAATTTCTCATGGAATTTCAATTGTGGGGGTTCAGAAATAGCATCATTGATCCCTAAAGGTTTTATGAACAAAAAGTGTTGAAAAGCTAAGATTTTTGTAAGTCTACCAAGTATTAGACTCAACTATTTCAAATCCTGTTTCCTCAGTTGCATTCAGTTGATTTCTATAGAACTAATCAATATGAAATAAAGTACTCCGAAATGGAGTGGACTGTTAAACTCTGTGATGTACCAAATGAAACGTTACACTGTTGGCTTTCCAGCCATACCTCTTCAGTCTTTTTCTCTCATTTTTGTGCCGTAATATACATACATGTACCTGTTTGCAGACCTGGTCACACTCACAATGTAACCTGTTACCGTCTTCTCTTACTTTGCAGGAATTTTGAGCTGTTTTTGTGTACAAGCTGGGGCTAAGAAGGGTAAGTACCCGAACTTGGCAATAATTGAGATAGTCATTTGGGATTTAATCTCAACAAAAAAAGAATGCATTGCCTCAGTAACCCCTGAAAAAATTCTTGCTTGGGTAATAAACTTCTGCATCACGTGCCTTCAGAAATTTCTTGTGGCAGTAGACAGATTGAACCTTTGAGTCATTTATTGAAAACACATGAATGGTTTAAGCCTACTGATAGGAGAAGAAGATGTCTGAATCAAGGATCGTAGGAGGTTTCCTAGATTGCAGCTTTATTTCCAGCTGTGACTTTCTCTGAGGCTTCAGAAGACTACGAGCATGCCTGAAGGCGGATATGGACATTAAACTAAGATTTTGGAAACCTGCCATAGTCAAATCTTGATACATGTCCTTTGCTATATAAAATATTCTGCATAGCGATACAAACTGGAAGTAATATAGTGAGGCATAACAGTTTCCAATGAGACAACAATTAGCTAGACATAATTTTTTTGGTACAGTATACACAGTTGTACTGAGATAATGTGCACACACTCAATGGAGTGATCGTTAAGTAACCTTTGACCTTAGTACTTTCAGAACTGTCAAAGGTGCCCTAGGGCTACTACGATTTCATTTGCGCGGGCGAAACTGTCATTCACCCTGTGACTTTCTTCCTGTTAGTGTATGCAATTGAGGCCAGTGCGATAGCCCACCAGGCCAGGAATGTTGTCAAGTCCAATGGGTTGGAGAGGCAAATTGTGGTCATCCAGGGCAAAGTGGAGGAGGTGGAAGTCCCCGAGAAGGTGGACGTTATCGTTAGTGAGTGGATGGTAAGGACACTGGTCATCTTAGTTATACCGAATGGGAAGTTGTGCAAATGTTGACTTGATTAAGGGTTGTTCAAAGCTTTGCATGGCATATGGAGAACACAGAGGTTTGTTGGTGGGTACACTATACATGTACATGTTGAAATAATCTGTTTATTAGAATGGAGCACTTTTTGTTCGAAGAACTGGTGGTCTTGATGTGTTCAGTCTGAGCCCAGTCTGAATGACCCCCTTGACATGCGTGAATGCAAACTGTATTTAACCCTGTGCACCAGCCTCATAAAGGTCCATGTTGGGCACATGGGTCAACATCGCAACTGTGTAGTGCTTTAAGGCTACTAGGCCTTTTATGACAGACACCCAGTAAGTATGAGATCCGGCAGAAATATTTGAATGATTGTGGGATCACAGGAAGAAAGAGTTAAAAGTGACCATGTCATAAGCAGCTTCAGGGCCATTGGCGATTGCTACATGTATGTAATTGAGTCACAGTGTGTCATCCCTTATCCCTTCAAGGCATTGCCGTTTTGCTTGGTTTTGAGCCCTCTAATAACAATCTAGCAGATTTGTGAAACATCCCTATTCGACCTGACTTTGATTTTGATCAAGGCTGCCTATTGGTCTGTTCCCATGAGGCGAGCCTTTGTATAAAAAGGATGGCAGCAACCATGCAGAAATTACCTCCAGAGGATTTGGGCTTAGTTTTTGTCAGTTTAACCTCCTTCAACACATCATTATTCTTTGGTGACAGAAACTTACAACTGCCGCAACCCTGCCGTATTAAACTTGTTTAATATAGGTTAATGGGGACTGTACACGTGCTAAAATATAGACATCATGAGGAACAAAATGTTGATTTTTACGGTCCCCACAACATGGTTGCGACTTTTCCTAGCAATTTCAAGTTGTCCCCTTAACGTGGGGAAGGCCTAGCCGCAGCGATATACACTTGTTCAAATCCTCACTGGCCTAAGAAATGCACTTGTTCTTCAGCTCAGACAACTTCAGTGCAGTAAGTTTTTCCCCTGACTCTTGATAAACGTGCCTAGGCTGCTATGATGCAGTGATGACCAGGATTACAAGCCACTACTGCATTGGCACTACACTGAGAAAGACAGAATGTCTTAAAAGCCTTTTCATCCAATACGGTACGATGACTCACCCAATCCACAAGCACCTCAAGATCACACTTGTGATTGGTTGGATATGTCAAAGAGTTCTTTTTATGTTATAGTTTTTTGTGTTCCACGGTGAAAGTAATAGAAAATAAGACAATTGCGATGGGACAAGCGACCACTGCCACTACATATTTAGGAGTACATGTATATGAAGAAATTGATAACTACATATACGTTTCCTTCCTTGATAATCAACACGTTGAGATGGATTTGACCTTTTTGTATGTATGTACCTCTAATTCATTCAGGAGTCATATTCTGTTCTTTTTGTAAATCCTCAGGGTCACTTCCTATTATATGAATCCATGCTGAACTCTGTCATCTATGCCAGAGACAAATGGCTGAAACAGGTAGGCCAAAACCATTTCCATTTGTGTCTCAAAAAGCACTTCAATATCATAAGCTATGTGACTATGTTGGTGACGATAATGGTCTTAGTAATATGAATAGAAACCTCCAAAATGCACTTTTTTGTGTCTCGGGCTGCTGTATTTTCAAAATTTTTGCTCTATTTTTCTGCCTTTTAAGCTTTTATGCCAGTGAATATTTCAAAATTAATTAATAAAACTGTGTAACCCTGGGAAGAGAACCTCAATATTGCATTGCATTTGATACAAAACCTGACATTTTTTAGATTTTGCTTGCCTAAATATCAACAAGCTCTTGTACACTTACAACATGTATAAAATTGCAGAAAATGTGTCCAAGAAATGTCAATTGCATCTACACTTTTGCCTTAAAACAATGGTTTGTATTTTTCTAGGATGGAATCATTCTACCCTCAAGAGCGTCTCTATACATGGCACCAATTACTAACGAAGACATATATAAGGAAAGGTTAGTTTGTTATTGATATTTATTTCTCGTCTTAGAACGTCCACTTTTTAAAGATGTTAGAATACTAAACTACCCTTCATTTTAATATGGTCCAGTGACATGCTAAAGGGGAGGCTTAATGCTTGATGCTTACCCTTACCCAAGCATATCCAATTGATATTTTAGTGAATTTGAACAAAGTGTTGACAGTTTTCAATAAATTTAATATACGACGGGCAGTACACCCCCAAAGAGGAGCCTCAATGTGGCAGTGTAAAAATGCTTACACATCGGTGAACAATCCACTCCACCTCCCTGCCTCACTCTGCTTTGCCCGCAATATACCTCTTGTTTTCTTTTACAGCCGATGAATAAGATTTATGCAAAAGTTCATCGTGCTTGGCCCCTTCAATAACAAATCCCACATATGGGACAAGTATTGTTCTGTAATTTATGTATCTCTTGTGAATGAAGTATTCTGTACTTAGAGTGATATGAACAGGTGCAGTTGTTTGCAATATTGTATCATTCTTTTATTTTTTCTTGTTGGCATTTATCAGTCATTGGATGCAACATAAAAATTGCAGAAACTTTCAGGAAATGTAGCATTAGCCTGGGAATACAGATCTGTCCATTTTTGAGGACCACTGTAAATCTCTTGCTCATGTAGTTACCCAAAGAAACCCCCTATTGGTACTGTTTTTTATTTCTTGCCTTTCTCAGAATCGACTTCTGGTCCGAGGTGAAGAGAAAATACAGGCTGAATATGGATTGCATGATCCCATACGCAAAGGAATGCATATTTGGTAAGATTGAAAAATGATCTGTTAATATGAGCGAGTATCAGTATAGAGCACCTTCAGGAGGTTGCCGCAGAGAGACCTTTTCAAGTTCACGGGGTCGATGACACCATGGCTGACCTCCTGCACTTTTGTTCGCTTGAATGTCGGTAAGACAACTTGATGCGGTTTTTGACAGATTGCGGTAATCTGCAAATTGGAAAGCACGGATGTTAAAACTTTAAAATACACTTGCGAATCTTCTACTTTCTTCTAATTTAAGTTTTCCACGCAGCTGGCAAATAGAATTTGATGAGGGTTTCTCATCATTAGCTGCAAAAAAATGGCCTCTCTGTGGCAATTTCTTGGTATTGTGTTCTATAGTGAGTGGTCACTTTTGAGCAGTCTTCTCAACAATGCCTTGCCTGCACTCACAAAGGATGAATTAGACACAAGAGTTGCTTTGATGTCGTCACCTATTAATTAATGCTATTTCTCTTCATTGTATTAATATTTTGCTGTTAGTGTAACTGCTAGGAAATAGCACTGACCTTGCTATTCATAAGATACTTTTAAAGTTCTTATTCGCATGTCCATTTGGCATATTACAAAGTCTGACCAAGGATATCCACTTCAAATCTCCCCAACGTCCACCTGCTATGTTTCAACCTCTGGGTACAGACTTCAGGCCTGCGCCTGCAACCAGTTTCTTACGTAGTCCCTGTGTCGTACAACATGTACATGTAGGTTCTGTCCAGATTGAAGACGTGATCGGTTCAGACTTGATTGCCGATGAAACTGAGATTGCTGACATTGAATCAGCAAGGTAACAGCACACGAACTGCAGTCAGTTAAGGTTAGTGAAAAGAAGTTCATAATGTAGGAATTGACTGTTTTATCCTGCAGGACCCTCTAGTGCAACTCTTATCATATTTTAAGTGTGCACTTTGAAATCACTCAGATTGAAGGGTATGAGGAATCAACTCTGGCCCTCAAGAATTCAGCTCAAAATGTAATGATTCATGCTGTAAATACGGTGTGTATATGAAATCTAATACACTTTACTTTCAACAGTGTTGCAGTTGTAGCCATTACCTCTCTAGTTATTCAGTCGTAAGAGTGATTTCAGTGAAATGATATGTATACATTTCAGAGCTATGGTATTTTTCAGCATTTTGGAAATTTTTAATGTATTAATTGTGTGCGTCTTCCATTCTAGGGTTCCTTTAACTTCAAGTGTTTCGGTATTGCAAAGTTTTGCGGATTTGCCACCTGGTTTACTGTGGCCTTTGACATTAAGGACAAGGATCCGGTCATAATATCCACATCACCCTACAAACAGTAAGTACATGTAATGCACCTGACTGCAATCTGTAATCTTTTAAGAGGCAGAATACACAACTAGGTTGGCTGCCACGAGTGGCTTTCTGCAAGAATGGGCAGGGGGCCCATGACCAAGGGGGAGAGAGTGTGTTCCATATCCATCCTCATAAATATGTTTTTTTCATAATTGGTGAATTCTTTTTTAATATCCATCAGGATATTTGAAGTACTAGGAGAAATAAATTGCTCTCAGTAATCAGCATCCTACATTGGTGCAGAATATGGAGATCAAGGAAGGTCTCCTGCAAAATGCTAGCAGACTTTGGGTTTAATAATAGGGAGATCAACATCTAACCAATCGCAGTGTTGTGTTATGAATTGGAACAAAATTTCAGTTCGATCTCCCATCCCTACTCAGTAACTGATTGTTTCACCGAATAATGTCATTAGAGCCTCTTGTTCGAGAAAGCATCTTTTTCTCTTTATCTGTGAAACATTTCCTTGAAACCAGCTTGTCATACCTTATACCAACAAACTTCTCTCCAAAGGAATCCCACCAAGATGCATGCTGTTGGCCGCACCCCCTGTTTTTGAACCATGTTCCATCTTTTCCCTGACATCTTTTACTATCCGAACAGCCCAACCCACTGGAAGCAGAGTGTGCTTTACCTACCAGAGCCAGTTAGCGTAGTGCAAGACGCCGTGGTCAAGGGGCACATAACTCTTTCGCCTGGTAGGACAAATTCTCGGTAAGTGCACAAACGTCATCAAAATGGGCAGCATTTTTTTAACCTACTTGGATCAAGTTATTCCATTAAAAATTTAGTGCTTTTGCATTATGTGATATGTAATTTTGCTGCTATGAGTAACTTAAAAAAAATAACTGTGGATGTGAGTGTTGAATGCCTTTGACATTCATATTGTGGTAGCTGTCCTGCCTGTGGTGAATGCCAGTTCACCTTTTTCCTATTAGTAGTTCCATTTCCAAATATGGGTATCCTCTTGACAGGTGCACGTACATTTCAAAGGGTTGGGAACATTGAACATCAGGTTTGTCATTTGCTGAAAAATCTCTTGAACAAATTTAATGATGTGACGGGATGCTTGAGTTGCATGTTTTTGAAACATAACATGGAAACGGAGAAAGAAATGACTGTTGACAAGCTGTCCGTTGCCCAATTTTGATATGAGATTCAACCCAACAAATTGGCTCGCATTTTGCCAGTGCCACTTTTGAGTTAAATACCTATTAAAAGAATTGTAAATAAGTGTAAACCCTCAACATGTGTCTGCCACGTAATGTTCATTTTCACAAGGATGGCAAACCAAGTCATACTTCAAAACAACAGAACTCATTTTGTTCTTTCTGATGCAAATCGAAACAAACTTAAAACTGAAAATGTAGCGTCAAGAGTCATTTGATGGGATCCGTGACATTGCTCGGAAGTGTTAGAAGTTTGGTTAGAAGTTAGGCATACCCATGGGCATTGACAGGCAGGGGCAAGAGCTCTTTGGAAGTGGGTCGGGCAAAACACTCAACAGCAGCAGACTAGTGTGACAAACTGTCCGTGGTGCATGGTGTCACATCTGAGGCATTTTCATGGAAACTAGCAATTTTCTTTCCTCGTTCCAAGCCCACCCAAAAGCAACTTTCGCTGTCCCATATTTGAATGTTCAGTGGTCATCATTTCTTGTGGTTTAATTTTTTCCCATCAGATATCTGGACGTAGCATTGGAGTATGCCGCAGAGGAAATGTCTCCGATCAAAAGGCACTACACAATGTCAGATGAATACTCGGGCTGAGTTCAGTGACACAAAGAAATTACTCTCGTGTTCATCAACAGTTCTCATTTTGTCATACAGTGTATCAGGGATTTGGGCCTCTACCTTTTGTATACTCCTCCCCTGTCCTCTCATCGGTTTCTGCTTTAGGAGGCCCCCCGGTCGTTCAAAACAGATTGGTTCAGCTTGAAAATGCCTTGCTGGACCGTCAATGTGTTCCTTGTTTAATATCTTGAGAACATATCTGGTAAATATAATATGTGCGGTGTCCTTACTGGTAACTTTAATGATTGGGTGTTTAGATGTTAGAGTACTAGACATTAAAGTCAGAAAGGAATTACATGTATAGTGTAAATGAAATCTATTTTATTAAACGTACAGAACGTCTCCAAAATATTGTGTTTAATTAGTTTTGTTGAGTTTTTGCTTTGCTTCTTGAGCTGTGGACTAATGCCCCCCTCGTTACGACGAAACATGCCATGAGACGGCATATCAATGTTAATAATGCAGACCCGATCGGTGGCAGTGATCCGTAGAGTGGGTAGGGAAAGTGTCACTGGAAGAAGATATTCCGACCAGTGTTCGAGGAACATGCAACTCCGTTGTCATGAGTGCTCGAAAATTTCACGCTTTTGCCTGCGCTGTGCAGTTTGAGTTATTCATTTGACTGCACATGCGGAAACCTGGAAGTGAGTGATGAGCAAACTATGGTCCGCATAATGTACATTTGTACTCTCGGCTTCTCATATCAAGCAGACGCGAGCTAATGGTCCTTGAGACACTGGGCACAAAAGGGGGTCTTCTCTGAGACGGGGGGGTGTAACTCATCCTTATTTTTGTTAAGTACACGGCGTATCAAAATATAAGCATGTTCCCAGAAAGGCCTGAATGTCTTTTTTCCAGTGACACCTTGATCTTGGGCCCAATGTCACGGTTGAACGAGTAACATTGCATCGTTGACCAGCAGGTGAAATCTGTACTGTGACAAGTTAGCATACACTATACAGTACAGTAGATGATACACATTTCAATGCGCTTTTGAATGTGTGTGTGAAAGGAGATACTCAAGCTTTTCTGGAGACATATACGTGTAATGCTCAATTATGAAATCTGCAGTTTTCCTATAAATTATGGTGGAATTTGGGTTTCCTTTATTTTGATACGCCTTGTTTATCGGTCAGTGCTCGTGCATTAAGCGGTATAGTCACTCGAAAAGAGGTGGCCTACACGAACACCACAGATTCACAGGAATTAACACTGACGATGAAGTCATTGAGACGAAGTCGCCCAAAACGCTGTCGGGCAGCAAAACTTCACTCTGTAGGAGCAAGGAGGAAGGAAGGAGAATCATTCTAGAGGCATGGAAATAAGAACAGCTTGATGAAAGATGAAGTCATTGGTGGGCGTCTGCAACGCCGAGATTTTATAGATGACGGCGCAGTCTCCCACAGTTCTCTTGTATCTTTGTAATGGTGTCGTTTCCACGGCTGCTGTCTTCAGTCCGTGTGGTACGAGAGTTCCACCATGCCTTTTTATTGGCAGGCTGAAACTTGCATCCCCGCCCTGCATTTAATTAATGTGCAGTGAAGACACTGAGAGAGTACGCTATCGCAGCCTGACTTCCCATGCGTATAGTTTTAGATGACAGTCAATAATAGTTATACGGTACAAAAAGAGTACACGGGGCTAGCGCTTCCACGTGCTGATTCTTTATGTGTGTGCACCTAAAGACGTAATTTGACATTTCTCATAAAATAAACTACAAATAGGTTGTCCCTTTCTAAATCTACAGTTATTAAATCGCTTTGGCCTCGGACGAGGGTCGGTCGATTGAAAACAAAGGTTTTGAAATGATTATACGCGGTAACGCGTGAAGAGGCTAAAGAATAAATGAAAATGCTCAATCTATGATTTTCTTGTTTCGAATAAACTTTTATTTCCGTGATTTTTTTTTAGATACGTAAAACGAGGAAACCATCTTTAAGTTTAAAACCACTTCGCGCGAGTGGTATTTATCAATGTTGATGATGCTGGGACGGGGTAATTATTATTATTTTTTCTGTTTTCAAAATTCGTTAAAAATTCATATCTTCATTTACTGGACACTTACACCCACACGAAGGACTGTCTGGTTTCTACTCTAATCTGACAGACACATCTATTGACGCTGGAGTATTTCAGCCGGGCCTGCTGCCTTGTAAAAAGAGCCCAGATTTTGCGGTGTTACGCAATTTTCTTTTGTTCACGAACCTGGCACAGTGCGCCGCTGGCCTCTTTTCAATAGGGGCCAGATTAGCGTGCAGCAGTACTGCGTGGCTCATCGCTGCAGTGGTGGAGCGCTTTTAGCCTCGGTGGTAATCTGCTCACGCTGAATGCCCCAAAGCGTGATACACTGTTTCTAAACAAGGCTGGATTATCTCCACTGTTGAGAGTGAAAAGCCTGGTCTTTGTTATGAGTATGGTCTTTTGTTGCAAGGCCCAATTCCTTTTGTCCGAAATCGGAGTCCCCGGCGGCAAGTGGTTTTAACCATTTTGATAGAAGTCCACAAACACATTGCTCGATCTTTCTTTGAATTTAGTTTTTCTTGGCTATGTCAGAGACAAAGCCGGTGAAATAAACAGTGTATGCCTTCCGTTGGGAGCTCCAAACCAGTGTCAGACGGAGAGAGGGCGCCCTGCTTTTAGAAACCTAATTTATCAAAACCATCATAGGGAAGAAAACTACCTTTTTCTCCCTCCTAAGACAGACAGTCGTCGAGTGATTGTGGACAAAAGAAATGAGTCGATACCAGCGACTGCAAGGATGCAGGGGTAAGTGGTGTAGTTTTGAAAGATTAAAGCCCTCAGAAAGTAAAGTCCTTGAGAGGGCAGTTATAATGGGAGATTGGGTTCTGCTTGTCGTGGACCCCCGCCGGCCGTCTCTTCGAAGGCGTCTTTCGTCACGGTAGTGCCGACTTCATTGCTATCTGTATCCATGCAAACACGAGAACAAGTCAATTCTAGTAACGTCATGCCCGCTCCAGCTTTTATCTTCGGTCGTGATAGAAATCATGCAAGCATTCGAGTCAGTTTCCCCACCGCCTCTCCACTGACGACATTACCTGATGGATACGAGCATGCACAACTTCCTCGACAGACAGTAATATACTGATGTAGGCTTAATGGATGTATACATCTGACAGTTCTGCCAAAATCGGCTGCTTGACAGTGGCAGCTACATAAGTAAAGAATCATGTTGTGACACAGGTCAGAATCGATAGTTAACGAGGCACAAGGAAATTTGTTTACAAAAACGGCCTCCATCGTAAATTTATCGATAGTATATAGCCTAACAGCACAAAATAATTTGACAAAATCTTTCGAAAGCTTTCAACTTTTTCCTAGCTTTGCTTCCTCAAATAACCGTCAGTGACATCCATCAACTTGATGTGCGTTATCGGAATTAAAGTGAAGTGATGTTAAAGTGGAAGTGAAATTGATTGTCAATAAGTCATTGTTAATTACAATAAAACGGTTGGATCTAAAAAAAAATGCCATCAGAAACAGAACGGCTGTAAGCAACCAAATGGGTACATACAAATTGAAATTACGATTGCTGCAAGTTCACCTTTTTAGCAGTTTCAAAAGCAGTTTCTGGCCCTTATGGTACAAGTGCCAAAGCTCTCCGTGCTTATAACGAATTATGAGTGGCCTATGCAGGTCTCTCCAGCGGGAGTAAATGGGCTGCTTCCTCTCTTTGAATGTTGCAATAAAACTTTCCAATATTCGAACTGCGTCATGGGAAACTGGATGACAAACGTGATATTATGCACAAGCAGGCACAAGAAGTGCCTCCAAAACATTATTCCTTGTTCACCTTATTCAGTTCTCGAAATCGTGTCATCACAGAATATTGTTGCAGTGATGATTTGGAATTATTACTGTTTCCAATCAAAGGCTGAGGCTTACCAGAAAGAAATGGGGGGGGGGTCAATAGAGCCTGAAAGTAAAAGGTCACGCATGCAGCGAGCTTCCGGAACCCTCGCGCGGTCTGCCTATGGGGATTTTACATTGGGCCGTCCTATCACGTTCGATTATTTTTAGAAGCCTTGAATAATTCCTAACTCAAACCACCGCATGATACACTCATGTTGGAATTTTACCTTTGTCTTCGTCAAAAAATATTTAGGAAAAGTCACCTGGAGATGGGTAAAAAGCGAATTTCATTAACGACTTTTCACGTCCGGCGATATCGTACCTAGGTCTCCTTGTTAATGCACGTTTGTTTTCACTCCTTGTGTTTTCGTGAAAACTAGACTGTACAACCTTGCAACGATTTTACCTACCTGCAGTCGATGGGCTCCAGATTCCGTTGAGCTGACATCACGCAGTTGTTGTCAGCAAAGGTTAGATAAGATATTAGATTTTGTCGTAAAGGTAGAATTATTACTTTAAGTTTGTGACCTTATAATATTATAAAATTTTGTCAAATATTTTGATTTGTTTTTTATTTTACTGACAGACTACCATAAAATTTCAAACAGTAAATAATTATTTGCGTACGAGACTACTGCATTTGCACAGTTCTTCATGCATTTTAGATTTTCGGAAGGGATTGGTCAAATTTTGGTAGGATATTTCTCCTTTAGGTCAGGTGATTTTTTAGTTTCTATAAATTCATATATTGGCAAATTTTTTCCAAAGCCCCTTTTCAGAGTTGGATTTTGTAAGAAATAACTGAACGAAAAAAATTACAAATTCTAAAATCTCTGCACGTTATCTCTGCACGTTATTTTTCCGATCCAAGGGTTCCGGAAGCGCGCCGTTAGGAGTCAACTTTCAGGCTCTATTCCTGACTTGGGCCTTAAGTGCGACTGCCAGTAGTGGAAAATCGGGTAACATTTTGCAGGGGGCCTTGGCTACGAGGTCATTTTCTGGAAGAGGCACTAAGTGCGTTCGGTCACAGTTACAATTACAGTCTGGAGATTTTTTCCTTCTGTAATTCCTACGCAGGGAGGGGTTCACGGGCCTCGAGCGAGGAGCCCCGTGTCCCCCTTAGTTACGCCACTGACTGTCAGTAAACTAACACGGCCAACCAGAGTTAAGATGTCAAGCCCAACTACCCGAAATGACCAATCACGTTATGTTTTTCAGCCTGGTACGTTGCAGCTGTCGATTGGAAAGGGCATTAAGGTCGATTTGTGGAAAATACCAATTAAAAATCGAAAGTCAGTAGAAAAAAAGAATAAATGTTTGACTGGTTCACTTTCCCATCACTTCGACACCCTCCCCGTGTCCAGTCATCCAGTTCCATGATGCAATGAGAATGTCCTGAAGGTTTGGTATAGTGAAAATTGTACCAGAATTCTACTCCACTTTAGTCTGTACCGAGGATGGCTTGAAAGTGTTCGTCGCGTGGAAATTAGAAAGCAGCACAGCACATTTTTGAAAAAGGGTTACGTCTTAATTTTACCTCTGGAGCTTACAAGTCTCGGTGTTCACCCATTGCGAAGACGTTATCACATGCTGATAATTATGATCGAGTTGTTTAGGACATTTCCTCGCTTTTCGATGGGAAGGGGCGTAGCGAAGGCATTTTCTGGGAGTGGGAGCGCCTGCTCAGTTTGCCGACTTACAACTTGTTCACCAACCTCGAGTCGTGTAAAATGGAAATGGTACGCTACATTTTATGCTTTAGGGGAAATGCCGACGGCCAACGTATATAATTTATGTAACAATTTTGGATTCATTTGCCGACCGAAGCCCTATTTGCCAACTGGAATTAATTGTGGGGCACTTCCGCACCCTCCAGGTCGCTATGCCCCCCTAGGAAACGCCCTGACGTTTTGGGTATTCTAATACCTGAATGAATACATCCGAACAAAGCCTGGATCTCGTTGGGGTCCTCACTCAGGAAAATCTCACTCAAAATGTAAGGTTCCCTCATGCGGTACCACGAAGGGATGCCTACTCCGCCCAAGCGAACAGCAGCGCATTTGCAGCGATCGTTGTAAGGGAGGAACCAACGGGGTGGGAGACCAGACCCTTGGTTGAACTCGGAGCCGATGAAGCAGACTTGATGGCTTGAGACCAACACTATGCAAACACATACAAAGATTATATTAACAAGTAGGCTTAGAGCTTGCTCAAGGGCCAATCGCGGGCTGTGCACAGTGACTTTTCCTATTTGCGGCAATCGAAATCGGGGTTGGGGTGGGGAATGACTATCCAGACCATGGAGATTTAATTGAAGGGGGGCTGACAGCCTGACTCCACATGAAAATATACAGGGGCTGTGTTCATGATACAGATGTTCATCCGTAATATGTATTACAATCATGCAAAATCTTACATCAAACGGCAAATTTTTGCTTTTTATTGTTCCTTTTTGAGTGATATTGAATTCATTCTGGTTGTTGGGAACTCGACATTTTCTTCACAATCTTCTTTAGTTTTTGTTCGCATCACGGAAACGTGGGGGACTTTTCAGTCCCCATCCCCTTGCCAGAAAGTGGGGGATACATCCACTCCCCCCACCACCCCGAGATTTACGCCCATGATTTTCGGTGTCCATCCAGTTCAGACATTGATATCCAGATGAGAAGAATGATACATAACAATTATTTAAACACAGATTTCAATAATAATAATTTAATTATGCAAAAACGGCCCTTTTTTACCGAATGGACGATGGTAGAAATCTATCTCACGGCATCTTAACACAACTAAAGGAATATCGGACAAAAGGGAGGCATAGCTGACATAAAATTCGTTTTACATACTGGTAGTATGGGGACTATAACCCATAGTATTATTTCAATCATAATTCTTGTCCCTTTTTGTGCCCCCAAATATAGTCATTACAAGGATTGAGCTTTATCTACACGCCATGCGACGTGGCATCATTTATGTTACAAGAACGGCACGAAGAATTTACAAAAATATATACCGATTCAGGAGGACGACATACCTGTAGGCCCTAAAAGGAACTCTATACAAAGTAATAAGCTTGAATTCGAAAAATATCAACGAGATGGAATTAAAATACTTGTGGGCCTTAAGGTAGGAAATGTAAAGTTTTTCATCGCTGCATTTCACCCAGAGCCACTTCATTTTGCTTTCTAATCTTTAGTCCTGCAAAAGTTCGTTTCTATGTCAAAACTGAATGCAGTCGATACCAACTTTCATAATTTTAGCCAGGCAGTTCCATAAAATATCAAAAATTTCAACATAACAGATATCCAAACTACATTTGCACGGCTTTTGATCTGGTCCGATGGAAACTCCATCGTTTTGATAATTCCTATTCAATTCATGCCAATTTAGGGCCTCATTGGTTCGTGTATGAGTGTTTTGCTATTCACATAGCACGAAAACGTTGTAGGATGGGGTGGGGGCATGCAGCTGGCTTCGAAATTTGACGTAAAGTTTACAAAGCTAATGTCACCAAATGCGCGGACACACCTGGACAGTCCCTGGTTCATTTTTTTTTCTTTTCGGACAAGCTGAAGGCGTTCATCAATTCCTCTACCGCCACTTTATGACTGCCTATTTACAGCAAGGTGTTAAAGGAACAATGTCATTTTGATGTCCATTGCACAAAATATGGGCCCCAAAATCGGCAATATCTCTCTTTTATAAAAGTTAGAGACTTTTTGCAGTGATGGAGGACTCGAATCCGGACTTGGACTCGAATCTGGACTCGAGTCCAATCCGACTTGGCGCGGACTCGGATCCTCGTGGACTCGGCTTGGGCTCGGATTAGATGGACCCCACTCAATCACAGTTTTTTTTTGTTTGTTTTTTTTTTTGCTGCCTTTATCGATGGGGGCTAATGTAAAAATCAATTAAGTGTTTGAAAACTGGGGCTCACCTGTCAGTGTTGAAACCATCAGAATCAAAGCTACTGCTCTGTCCATTCTTCAACGTGCGGCAGTTGAAAGTAACCAAGTGGTTACCTCGTTCATTGGCTCGGTGATATGTACATGTATATTATACCTCTGTAGCTTTGATGTGGATACACCTGACGTACCAGTTTGCTGGAAACCAGCAGTTTCAAAAGCGGACAACTGAACGGAGTGACGTAACTGCCAATTATCTCAGGAACTGGAAGCCCTGTGTTGGCTTATCCCGCCCCGTGCATTCACCTGTACGTTGGATGCGTCAGTGTTCCGTAAACCTCCAATTTCACCCCACATGCACAATAAAAGATGGAGCATAGCTCTGGGGGTTTACCTGAGCCCTAACGTGAAATAAACATCCTCCGGGTCAGTGCTTCAAGTTGATATTTGCCCATCGTAGTTGAGAACAGACACTAATCATTTCATCCAATCACTTTTAGTATTACGAAACAGCAGTGTCTGGGAAAAGGAAATTCGAAAAGGGGAATCGGGGGTCGCTTACTGGGACATCGGTGTATAGCAATGAAACAATCAGTCCGCGTATGATTCCGTATATCATTCTATTGGGTCACAACAACAACCAATGACGGGAAAAACAAAGCTCTTCTCCCGGCGTTTAGGAAGTTGTTATGTGGGATTTTATGTTTAAATTTTATTCGTACCAGGCTCAAAAGTGCATTAAGTCTTGTTGATGAAATTATTGGCGCAACGATTCGTGAGACATCAACAAGGCGAACTGACAGATGAGTCAAATTTCAAACGCCACGTAACCACCTCGAATAAATTATTGGTGATATACGTCAAAGTTTTGCACCATTGCGTTTCATTGGCCCTGACGAAAGGGACTCGTAAGTCCTTTCATCATTGTTATTGCAAATAATAAGCCAGTGTCATGATGCGATGGGAATAGTAACTGCTTGCCCCATGCGATTTTTCTCTGGTAATTGACTTTTTGATGAAAACCAATTAGGTTAATGGTGTTCCGTGAATCAGTCTTTTTGTCGAGTTCGGTGAAGTTTACAGGCTAATGCCCACGCGGCGCTCGCAGCATTGTCATTAAACCCTCGTGGTATATGCACTGGCGGCTATCTCTGTTGTGTCAGGTCAATGAAAAGTATCATCACGGTGGCAGAAAACAACTGAAAATAAATGAAAGGCATTACTTTTTTCAATGGGGAGTAGTTCGATGCCTGAAACACAAAACCTGTCAAAATTATCATACCATTACAGCCCAAAGGCTATATGAGAAGACCAGCGGGGTTGTGATACCATATTGGCCTATACGGTTTCATCTCCGCTGCATGTCTCTGCAGTTTCCAAACGTATTTGAATTTCAAAATATTATGGGTATTTTTAAGTCCCATTCTACATTTTTGGAGGGGATGAACCCGGGCGGGGACGGGAACTTTTTTCTTCAGTCAAGAAGTAAATCGATGTTTGATTGTCTCTCTCAAACTGCAAAAGGCAATCCCCTCCTTTAGCAAAGCACCGAATGGGCCAAGCTCGCAATTCCAATGTTTAGATAATCGCCAAATGCTAACCATCGATGCTTCCAATGACTAAATAAATATACCATTGATAACTCGAGACAAATGTATGTGTGGTATAAGTCATCAGAGCCTGGAAAGCGTTTCACCGCTGAAGCCTTTCTAGTACTGTAAAATAAACTGTCTCCACTTATTATGCAATTGCCCAAGGAATATACACCATGTAGGCAAATGCATTAACAGACTGCATTCTGTTTCGTCTTTTACTCGTATCGTTGAGATTTCAGAAGAGCGCCAGTGCGAGTTAAACATCTGTACTTGCTATCAAGCTGACCCACTTTCCCAAAAGGATGTTCGGTACACGTGCGCGTTTCCTTTCACAAATAACACACTCTTAAGGCAAAGGAATGAAGAACTCACTCTGAAAAAGAGTGAGTCCCTTGCAATCCACTCTAAAGTGAAAAAGCAGTCTTTAGGAGTGGATTAAAGGATGAAACTAAACTTTTTGCCGGACTCCTGCCGAGACCTCATTGTAGGAGTTACGGTCCAAGTCCAAGCCCGAACTGGGTCCCAGTCTAGACTCGAGTTCTAGTCTCAAACACTGCCAAATTGTTAGAGAAACTGGTGGCGAGGTCTCTGTTGGTTTTGTGAAATAGTTCGCCAAATTAAAATATTTTTTTACCTTCAGCTCCAAATTTGGAGCTTGGGGTGCCGGTAGGCGCCTGCACATTCGGAGATCGTGTTGGATGGGTGTGTAGTACCCAGGCCCGTAACGATGACTTTTCGTGGGGGGGGGGTTGCGAATCCTTAACAACGCGGACCAAGCATATATCTTTTGGTTTTTTATTCTGATAAACAGCAGGATTCATGAGGTCGTACAAATTATTGGGGGGGGGGTTACAAGTAAACTCCAGAAGAGGGTATTGACTGAGGCAAAAAATACCAAAGCGCGCGGCATTTTTATATTTTATTTTGCGCAAAATGTTCTAGTATAGCTCAAAATCTTTTCTTGCCTCAAAAGCGGACCTTTCAGTCGCGTGGGGGGGTGCAAGCACCCCCGCACCCCCACACCCCAAGTTACGGGCCTGAGTAGCTGAGGTCACAGTGACACCACTACAGACTGGGAAAACACCAAAGAAGCGGCGTTTAGTAAAAACCATTAATAAGAAAGGCGCCTTTCCATAATGTACATAGGGGTGCGTTACGAAGAAAACAAAAATCGACTCAATTAACATAATAAACATCGCCCGGAAGCAATTTGACGGATACACAACGCTTGGCGCAAGTGCTGACCTGCATATGAAAAGACACTTTTTGTCTAGCGTTTCCTTTATAGTTGCATAGGGGAAAATGATATGAAATTTGGCAGGGTCCTATATGCTGAAACAAAAAAAACAAAAACATACAAAACCAAATTCTTCAAGACTGCATTTTTCCGGCATACTAATGAATAGAGAGAGGATATCAGCCGTACTCCACCATTGTTCTCAGAAAAACGAATAGTGTTCCGCTGCATAATTTGGATTTTAAAAATGGATAAACCCCTTTATTTTTTTGTAAAAAAAATGCATTTGTTTTTCATTGGAAAAATCAATAATCACACCAATAACCAGAATATTTTTTCTCATGTTATTGTTTTTCCCTAAAATTCTTTAGGGTCAGCACGGTCTTATGCCAACAAATTTAGAGTGTGATGGCACATATCAGCAGTGTCGTGGTTGTACACGTTGTGTGTCATAATTGCTGCTGGTTGTAAGCCTTTGGCACGCCAAGCTTCCGTGATAGAAAAATTAATTATTATGCACTAGGAAACCTAAAGAGGGCGCTGTTTACATTTGGCAAGATGGCGGAAGAAGGGGCAGCAGCAACTTTGGCGGCAACGGACCTGTCTTCCAGATCAAGATCAGGGTAGGCTTCACCTAGTTTATGTGCTGCCAATATATTTCACGTCGCTAATTTATTTTGCATCAGGCAAGTCTAAATAGCTGAAGTGTCGAGTTTGTGCAATGGAAGGAAATTGGAGATTGTTACAGAAATTACCAGGACCCGTAGGCCTTGCAGGGGTCTTAGTACATGTAATTACCGTCAACATGCACACACTGTCAACAGTCAACACACGATAGTAACGTCAACACAGCGTGAGCTTCCCGAATGTACAAGTTCAGTTCAATAAGTAAATAGTAGGCTACATACATGTAGGCCTACACTACAGCTAGCCTACATTATTGACATGATTGAACAAGTTGAAGACACAAATGTAGCCTACATGGGGCCTACATCATGCGGTCATGCTATTTAGCATCAACCATCGTCAGTCAACACATACAACTAGCATCAACGAAATCAACAAAGTGTCAACAACTCGAAAGTAGGCCTACCCTCTAAAGATTTAAAAGTGGTTTTATCATAATTTAGAGACGCTAAGACCTGAAACTGTATGAGAGAAACATCGAATTTGCTTCCATATTCATGCAGAAAAACGAAACTTTTTTGTGATGTATGGAGGCCGTCACCTTTCTTTACTCTGCTGTCCACATGAAAAACAAGATGGCGGCTGGTGGGGCTGCACGAGCAGGCCCTAATTTGTCGCTCAAATTTCCACTCTCAAATATCATTTTCGGTAACGCGATACATTGAATATGATATGTAGGAGCCTTACTAATATTGTAAATATAAAATATTTGCATAAAAATGCTTGAATATTTTGTTGCCGCTCGTTGACGCTAAATAGCATGACCCTTTACATGTACACTGTACATCATATTTCATTTCATTTATTTCAGTGTATAAAGTAATGCGGGGACCGCTAACCAGACTATATAAATGTACTCACTGGTACCCACACTAGTTTCACATTAGCGTTTGTGCAAATAATGAAAGGGAGGGGACAGTGCATTTGCAAATGATATCGTTTATGTACATTAACTGTACAGTTTTACAGTAAGCCCATCATCTTCTGAAATAGTTCAGCTTGATTCTTTGGATTAATTCCTTAACCCTAACCCTACATAATACTGCAAATTACTACTTGTTGTAAAAATGTAGCACTGAGTGCTGCCCCTGGTAAGAGGACATGACCTTATTGTTCTCAGAAGCCATAAAATACAATAGAAAAGACAATGTACCATACAGTGCTCATGCACTATGAATGCATGGCTTTATTGTTCTCGGTATAAGTAACAATGGAAGTAACCTAGCCAGAAGTAGTAATCTGTAGCGCTAGGTCCTTCAGGCTCAGACTACTACTTAGTATTTTGTAGTGCTGTGTAGTGTAAGCCAAACAATATGCTTGGCGGTTAGGGTTAAGACAGAGGTACTGTATGTGCCCTCGGGCAAAGTGCCCTCGACTTCGCCTCGGGGCACTATGCGTCCCTCGGGTGTTCACAACATCATATCCCACACCACAGCGGTCAACAATTGTCAACTGGGGAGGTTCGATGTACATGCAGGCCTACCTTCTAACATCTACATGTAGTTAATTCAAACCAAAATTTGATGGAAATAGAACTTTTCTTACCTACATGTACACTATTGTGACCATGGAAGATTAACAATAGTTACTGAATTGACAGGTTGTTGTCAGCAGTATGACGGGTTGACCAAGTAGGCCTATAGCACTACTCCTGTCTTTCTTTTCCTTCCCATATCTCCCTCAAATGAAAGTCCCGCACTGTAATTAGTCATTATTGGCACAGAGATGCAATTCAACCAACTGCAGCATGGCTCTTATTTGAGGATGAGAGGGACAGAAAATGGGCAAGAGTTTGACAATAAAATGTTTTGTAATCGTCAATTACAAAGCGGCTCCTTTTTTCCATTTTTTCTTTTCTGCTAACTATGCTATTATTGGTCAAGCTGTCTTACTGCTGACAACAAGGACTTTCAATTTAGTTGTATGTATGTAGCACTGCTGTCTGTCTTCTGTGGGTAGATGCCTCTTTGCCTCCCTTACTCACAAGTCATGGGGTGAATGTTGTTTCCTCATGCAGGTCTTAACCACTTC